AATTATAAATTTAAGTTCGCTACGCTTTTTAATTAAATCGACTAAGTTAGCCCGCTAGCTCTCTCGAGCTCTCTTATTAAAAAAATAGATATATATTATCAATATATAGAATTACTTTTTTATTTTCTATTAAAATTTTAAGATTTTTTTTTAATTATAGAATGAAATATGAGCAGATAGTGAGCTTTTAGATAAAAAACGAATTTCTAAATTTAGACTTATATTTTTAAATCGTAAGAAATTTAAATATCGCTTATTAAAGTTCGCTCGATAGTCGAATAGCTCTAGTTAAATATATATTATCTAATTTTAAAATAACTTTTTTATTTTTTATTAAAATTTTAAGATTTTTTTTATAAATTATAAAACGAAATATAGGCTTTTAAAAAAAACCTATATTTAATCTTATAAATATTTAAAGATAAAAAATTCAAATATCGTTTATTAAAAATTTATTTACTTTATTAAGATTACTCTTTTATATAAGCTTAGATAGTCGAGTAGTAATAACTTAATAAATCTCGATCTTCGAAATTATTCCGCTCCGTCCTCGGTTCGAATTCATAAATCTCCCTCGCTAAAAGATTATAAAATCGTAAAATCGTAAAATTCGTAAAATCGTAAAATTCGTAAAATTCGTAAAATTAATAAAAATTCCATGAATTATAAAATTTAAAATAATAATAATTAATATAAAAGAATTATTACTAATTTTAAAATTATCTTCTTATTAATTAAATTTAAATTAATTTAAAGTTAATTAATTTTTTAGAAACTTATTATTTATATAACTTCTCTTATTTCTATTATTTTCTTTCTATTATTATTTTTAATTATAGAATTTTCTACGCTTTTTTATAATTTAAGATTTATAAAATTTAATCTTATAATTCTAAATAAATCTTAAATTAAAGTATTTTCACTCTTCGAGAGTTAAATTCAATCTCGAAATAAGATATAAAAATAAATTACTTTTTATAATTTAATTTATAGATCTAAACTTATATCTCTATATTAAGTTTCGATAAGATTTATTTATAAAATAAAAGATAGATAAAAGTAGAAAGTAAGCGCTTAGTGTAAAGATAATAAGTTTTTAAGATTATATACGATTTAAATAAAGTTAAAGTAAGTATATATAAATAACTCGATATTAAAGATCTATACTCTTTAAATTTAAAATATATATCTTAAATCTTTTTAAATATTATTATTAATAGCGAGAATCTAATTTTCTTTACTTTCTAAGTAATTTCTAATTAACGAGTTAATATATTAGATTTATTACTCTCTTTAAAAGTATTAAATTTTTAATAAACTTCTAGATAAGAAATAAGATAAGATTTTAAATCTAAATTTAAGTATCTTAATTTTAAGAGTTTTTAGAATTTATAAGAGATAGAAATTCTTCTTTTCTTTTAATAATAGCGAGAGTTTTTATAAAATAAGAGAAGTAGTAATATAAAAAGATAAGATTATAGTTAAGTATTAGAGTAAAGTTAACGTTAATAATATAATAATAAAGTTATAGATATCTTAAAATTATAAGATAATAATTTAAATCTATAATAAAAAGAAGTAGTCTCTCGATATAAGTATTAATTATTAGTATTATTTTTATAATATAAGTAATATACTATTAAAATTATTTATTTATAAAAAAATTAGAGATAATAAGAATATTTAGTTAATACTAAGAAAAGTTTTATTATTATATAAAGATTTTACTAATAAAAGCGTAGATGAAGATATTATAATTATTTAAAATAAGAGTTAATATTTTAATTTATTATAGAGTATAGAAAATAGTTATATAATTATCTCTAGGAATAAAATTAGATTTAAATAATTTTAAAATATAAGTAATATATTATTCGTTTAGTCGATAACTTATTTCTTAGTCTCTTACTATTACTTAATCTCTCGTAGTAATATATATAATAAAATCGATATATCTATTAAAAGAATCGATTTAAATATAGAATTTTAGTTAAATAATACTCGATAATTAACGAGTATATATAGGTTTAGGCTTATAAATTAAATTTATAAAAAGTAATTTATTTTTAAATCTAATTTCGAGATTGAATTCGATTCTCGAACTTCGAAGAGTGAAAATATTTTAATTTAAGATTTTCTTAGAATTATAAAATTAAATTTTAAAAAAACTTAAATTATTAGAAAGCGTAGATTAAGTTCTATAATTTAAAAAAAAGTAGTAAAATTTTAATAGAAAAAAGAAAAGTTATATTAATAATAGATTTCTAGAAAGTTAATTAACTTTAAATTAATTTAAATTTATTTTAATATCTATTATAGTCTTTTTATTTTAATTACTATTATTACTATCTTTATAAAATATGAAATTTTTATTATTTTACGATTTTTTACGAATTCTACGATTTTACGATTTTACGATTTTTATATTTTTATATTTTTACAATTTTATAATTTTTTAGCGAGGGAGATTAATCAATTTAAATCGAGGACGAAGCGAAGTAGTTTCGAAATTTATTAAAATTATTATTACTCGACTATCTAAGCTTATATAAAAGAGTATTCTTAATTAAGATAATAAGTTTTTAATAAGCGATATTTAAATCCTCTACCTTTAAATATTTATAAGACTAAATTTGAAAATTCTTTTTTTATCTAAAAGCCTATATTTTATTCTATAATTTAAAAAAAAATCTTAAAATTTTAATAGAAAATAAAGAAGTTATTTTAAAATTAAGTAATATATATCTAATTAGCGCTATTCGACTATTAAGCGAACTTTAATAAACGATATTTAAATTCCTTACGCTTAAATAATTATAAGATTAAATTTAAAAAAATTTCTTATCTAAAAGTCTATATTTTATTCTATAATTTAAAAAAAAATCTTAAAAATTTAATAGAAAATAAAAAAGTTATTTTAAAATCAAATAATATATATCTAATTAAGGCTGTCCGGCTATCGAGCGAACTTTAATAAGCGATATTTGAATTCCTTACGCTTTAATAATTATAGAATTAAATTTAGAATTTTTTTTTATCTAAAAGCCTATATTTTATTCTATAATTTAAAAAAAGAATTTAAAAATTTAATAAAAAATAATAAAGTTATACTGTATGTTAATAATATATATTTATTTTTTTAATAATTATAGATACTAATTTATTTATTCGCGATAAGTTAATCGATCTAATTAAAGAGCGTAGTAAACTCGAATTTATAATTAACTATATATATAAATTTAAGATTTTTAAGCTTAGTTCTACTTTATTCTATTATATATATTAATAAGAGTCGACTTAAAGCGAAGTACTATTAGATTTTAATATAGACTTTATATAAATATCTAGAATAACGTCTAAATACTTTATAAAGTAGAATTAGATATTATTATTATTTATTTAAAAATAATATAATATAACTTATTATTATAATATAATTAAAAAAAATTCATTACTTTATATAGTTTATAGATATAAATATATAAAGAAAAATATACTTAAGTTTAATTAGAAAGATATATCGAATATAAAGAATTTATTCGTAATAATATCTCTATATAATATTTACGCGTAGAGATTATTCTAAATAATTACTTTTCGAAATTATAAAAATAAAGTATTAAAATCTATAGAGATATATCTCTAGCGAGTATACTCGAAAGATCGTATAGTAAAAGAATCTTTCTTTTTAATTTAAATAAATAATTAAATAATAGTAAATACTTAAGAGTATAAAGTTCGCTTAAAAGTTATAGAATTAATTCGAGGGTTATAAACTTAATTTAGATCGATCTCGAAGATCTTAAATAAATTCGAAAATTCGAATCTAATAACTTAATCTCTCTAATTATAATATACTTTAGATTATTAAAAATTATATATATTTTATATATTTTAATTTTTTTCTAAGCGTATAATTAATAAGTGTATTTTATATCTAGTTTTAAATAGCTTAAAGATAAATTATAACGAATTAAATTGTAATTACTTCGATGATTTAGAAAGTAATTCAAGAAGAGCCTCGAGCCAGCTTCGAACTCTCAAGGCCAGATCACATATATACTTATCAGCGAAAGTATTTCGCACTGATTTCCAAGACATCTACAAACACCAAGCCGCATATTTCCAGGAACACCGTTCCACAAACGTTCCTTCAATAATGTACCCCAGAGTGTTCGAAGACACCAAAACACACCACAAGAGCTCCTCCAAAGACTCAGACTCCCTTACCGATCCACATGTGTGATGATCCGAGCTTCCCTTGAGCGTAACATACAACGCCGCTATCACAACCCCACCTCTAAAGTTCAATAGTCCAACGGCGTCGACGTCTTCTCTTCTCGTACCAATCCACAACGGACGAGCAGCCAACTAAGCGCCGAGCGGTACACATATCATCCCACCTTCTTAGTCCCTTGACATGCAGAGCAGAAAACCCCCCGGCGCGGAGTACCACGTCCGACAGACCCTCCCCTCCCATCTTCAACCGTGGAACCCCAAATCCGCACGACAGCCTTACCCTCCCTTTGGCACTCCTTGTTGTGCTCTGGGCAAGCTCAAAAATCCCTCAATACCATGCATCAAGAGGGCATTGCTCGGGCCCCGCGCCGGTTTCTCGCTCTCGACGGTCCGTGTGCAGGCGGACGCGATTCTCGTAGTCTGTAAAGAAGGCTACAAGTGGAGACAGGAAAGGACGACTTCGCTGCTGTTCCCCTCCCAGAGTGCGCCGGCAATGCGTCTAGTGACATTAGCAATTTTAGCTTCAGCGTGAACGTTCTTTGCCTTGAGCCCAGGTGCTTAGCCACGAAAATCGAACCTCCGAAACGGAACATACCCAGCTGACTCCATGACCCTCATGGACCGTGACATCTTTCACACATTCCCACATCCTGGAAACACATGAGACCAATGTCAGGATTCTCCACTTTCTTGAAAATGCCGGCTCTTGTGTTGAAGTGCGTGGAATGTGCTACAGACTTTTCGGACCGTGTGCCATCAAACTACTCTACTGAACGTTCACGGTGGTATGCTCCAGGAACCACGTATGTTTTCATGAGAGTACCGGTGACTGGACTGTACCAACGATGATAGTTGAGCGACCTGAGATTGGCTTGGTAGACTGTGCCGCCAACGGATTGTGGTGCGAGAGCGTCGCCGGCAACCAGACAATAATGGAACCAGTAGGGTTTTTCGTTCAGCCGGCAACCATCATATGCTTCGATATCCCGACCTCCACGGGATGGAGCAGCCTCGCAGGCATCGATGACAACGCTTTCATCTCCAGTGCATGCAATAAGACGGACCCCAGGCCAACACTGGTGCGTGAAGTAGCCATCCCGGAAAGTGAAGCCGTGGTACGGAGCCGCCGGATCGCAGAGCAACTCCGAGTCAGAGATTGGCATGGCAGCCATTGCAGCTGGACCGAGCCAAGCTGTATCCCTGTCGCTCCCTAGCACACATCTTGGGTCTGACGTGGCGAGAAAAAGCGCCCACTCATTGAGTATCTTGCGTGATTAGGCATTGACCTTGGGATGGTAGGATAGTGCACAGCTGGTAGGAGTGCCTGTAGGCTATTTGGCCATGTGGAACACCGGTACGTCGATCTGTGCTTCGCTTTGGCAAAGGCGGGTGCGCCATGGATGCTGAGGTTGAGGGTCGTTGGCATTGTTCTGTGGTCACAGATTTGGGGCTGCCTAAAGGGGTCGTCGTCGTGTGGCGGGTCTGTGGGAATTTGATCGTACATCTGGTGAAAGGGTTTGTAAAGTCGAGAGTCTTCTTTGATCGTGGTATTGGAGTCTGCGATGACAGACAGTACTGGAGATCAAAAGTTCGCCTCCGATTTCATAGTCCATTTTGGAATTCAAACTTCCTCAGCAGTCTGTTCTAGGGCGGTAGAAGTGCCGCAGGTAGGATCTTGGGGCGGCCAAAGCTGATGCAAAGGATGTCTGAGTGTGAAAATGTTCCATCAGGCGATTCGGAGAGTCAACTTCAAGGGAACGATGAGCAGGAAGAAGAAAGAAGTTTCTTTTATCACGAAGATACTCACCACTGTTCGGATTGGCGATAGCTTTTTCGTGTTCCAGTAAAGCCAAAGACACTGAATGAGGGTTCACCGACGCATGACGATAATCAACTTGAATGCTACTGGTGACAAAGGTAAAGATGCTGCGAACCAAAGAAGAACGGATACTGATTGGAAAAATCATGATAGGTCAAGCAACAGCAGCCTAAACCATACTGGATCTAGTCTCCTGCACTGTGACCGCAAGATACTTTAGCGATGTTCTTGCCTTCTCTCTTCCGCTTTCTTTTCTCTAGTGTCACTCAGAATCAACCAGCATTTTCCCACTTCTTATTTCTTCTTTTTCCTTCCTCATTTCCGTCTTTCCTACATGTGCCCTCGGATTGGAGTAACGTGTTGAAAAGGAATGACAATGTTATGTTGGTTTCTTCGGCCTGACCGCCATATGCACACCTTCGGGCTTCAGCCTGACGTGCCGATAACCGATTCCGCTCTTTCGGAGATTCGGACTTGAGCGTCACACTTGTGCGTCTCGTCTTTTCCAGCATCCTCGGTCATGGTTTGGCTGTAGGAATTTGGGTGGAGGAACCTCCAAAGAAATGCGCGAAATGAAGGGGCCAGCTGACCACCATGCAACGGAGCCTCCATGTACTACCCTGCATTTAATCTCGCTAGCCTTCTCTGGTCTTTATACATACTGATATTTTTACCAATCGTTTAGCTTTTTATCACATCGCACATATGCTCTCCTTTCTTGCTGTGATAAGCCTCCCACTTCCTATCACTCTTCCGCCGATCATGTTTCACCACGTGTATGTGTTGCTCGCCTTTGCTAGCCTGTAAGATCTCCTCAAGAGGTCAGGAGTCCTGATCTCATACCTACGTGGACCTCGACAGTTTTGTGAAAGCGTTGACATCTAGACCTCGACGGGCTGAGGCTGAGCCTGGAGACCGTACGCGAGTCATCTCACGTAAGGACATTTGTGCACCTATCAATCGAGGCTTTCGATGGTCCAGACTATCAGTCATTCTAAGGAGTCAAATCAATCATGACTGAAACTCTACAAACGGTCCGCAATCGCACCAAGTGCTAAAACGTCCAGGTTGGTCTAGATGAATAGTCCAAGATCCGATCCGCATTGAGTTTTATTGGAAATGTTGCTACCCAATTCTGACATCTGTGCCCAAGTCGTTCATCCACTATACTGTGAACGAGATTGAGGTTAGACCTGCCTTGTCATGAATCTGCCAATCAGGCCGCCAACTGACAATTCCCATTACGAGGCGAAAAAGATCACCGCCCTGGACCACGTGGCTATAACCTGGAACTGCTCCGCGGACGAAGTCCAGAATACTACTCCGAGAATTGAAGACGTACCATCTCCAGCATTGCCACTATGGGATTAGGAATCATATCCACTGACGCAGTCTTGGTCAAGAAGATCCCTAAGGATGCCGGCCACCGATCTTCTAGGGGTCTCCGGTGCGGAAAAGTAGCTAATGAGCTCGCCGCGATGTCGGCATTGGTCGACCGCCGAACGTTTTGAGACAATGATAGGCATCTGCTTACCATCCACAGACTCCTTCACAGCTTGTAGAGCATGGATAACCAGTCCGCTTGTAACGTCAAAACGCCGTGCCGAAGATTCGGGTCGGCATTGAAGGTTTGAAGGAAGCGGAAGATGGGGCTGTGAAATTTGCTAGGGTGGAGCGATTGATCGTCTCGGTGACGGTTTCGGGGCGACCGTTGAGAAGTTTGCAGGGGGCAGTCTTTCCAAACAGAGACAGATACGGAAACCAAAGCCATGAGTAATTACACGACAAAGGTATGTCAAACATTACCTGAGATGTCTCTGCGCTAAGTATCTCGCGTACAGAAACTCCCCTGCCACAAGTGTGGAGCTAATCCGCAAGGCTCTGTTCTCTGCAGGCACATCCTGAATCAAGCCTCCGCAACAACTTCAAGGGCGCATCTTCCACAATGTCAACACAGTGCTCGTCGGCGCTCAACTCATTCTTTGGAAAGCGCTCGACACCCGCAATCAGACAATGACTTATCTTGCTCTACGTCTGAGTCAATGCTCCCCACTATCGATTAACACCACATTGCCACGGCATAGGACGCAAGCGGCTCATAACCGGACGCAAATCATTCCACAACGCACTCGCATCACTACAAACAGCCTCGGAGACAGACACCATGTTGCGAGAGTGTTCTCCGATATGGCCTTTGACACGGCCTCAACTACCTCCAAGCGACCGGTGAACGTCCCCATGCACGACATGCTGCCTCGAAGCCTGAGTTGACCGAAGACACGCTCCCTGCCCTCCTTACTATCGCCCTCGCTTCTTTCAATCGGCGCGGAGCTGTCTCCTACTATCGAGGACCCCACACGCGCTTATCTTGTCAAGAAGGACGGCTCGGGTGAGAAGTTCGGTGCTCATGAAATGAACGACTATGTGGTCAAACGGGCTAGGGATATGTTCCGGTTGCCGGGCGGGATCTGTGGAGGAGGATGATATACCCCCTAGGAACAATGGGGAGGTAAAGAGAACAGGGCTGCAAGACAAAGCACATGTATAGTGGCAATCGGTGGATGCGATGAGGAGCGCAGGCTTCCACGACTTCAGTCTCGTAGATGACACAGTTTGGCCATGATGGTAGTGATGATGATGTCCGTTATACTGCGGGACAGGCAGTCGTGATGGTAGTGGTGGCGATAGATATCTGTTTACTCTACCTGTGTGTCCGAAGGGGGTGTGAAGCCTGGACGCCAAGCCGGCTAAGGCTGGTTACACGGTAGAGGGAGTCGGCGATGCCTAATGCTTGACAGACAGTCTTTTGAATCCACACCTGCATTTGCGTTAAGAACTCACTACATATTGATTCGCTCGACGCGAGGTTTGACTGATGGAATCAGATTCCACATACAAGGTTACTGAAGATTTGTGTCAATCTTCGCAGTAAACATGGTCCTCTGATTTGCGTATGGAAAGTTATTTTACATGAGATTCGTCTATTGGAACGCAATGTTTTCGTCAAAACATGAGCATCATCTGAATGAATGCAATATCTGACTCCAAAGCCATTCTCCGATCGTAAAATACAACGACATCGTTGTTGAATCTAAGGTTACTCTGTAATGTATTTTGGAAATTCTGCGCTCAGACGTTCAGCCAGTCAGCCAGGGTCAGAGCTAAGGTAACCTGAAGAGGCTTAGCGAGCACGTCTGAGGAGTTGATCGCGATAGGATGTTTGGCCCACCACGGCTAACTCCGAGCTGTGAAGTCTTACTATTTCTGGCTACCTATTACCCCATCCCTCACACACTTTTTTCGAAGTGTTTGTCGAAAAATAATTCGGGGGCATAACCAGCGCTCCAAGTTGAGGACAAGATAGCTCTTGAGGCACCGAGGCAGAAGATACACTTTCCATTTCCCCATCATCTGCAGCGAACGATGAGCAAAGACGCATGACATAAACATGCATCGGAGGCGGCTCGAAGGAATGAATCAATCGTTCTAGAACAACTCTCAGCCTCACATGCAAGTCCCGGGCACATGCATGAACTCAATGCATCACCAGCATCAAAGAGCGGTCACCCCCGATGCACGACGCATGTGGCACAGCGAGGGGGTTTTGGCCCTTCATTGGTGCGGATATAAGTTAAACGCCAGAGCGCAGAGATGCGATTGGCTCCTCCGTTGACTCGCCCGTGTAAGAAGAACACGTAACTCCCAAGCATGCACGTCGGCGCTCCCTATCAACGCAAGATCTCCCTTGCGATCGGTTGCGATTGGCAGAGATGCCTTGGGACTCTCCAGCTGTTCTTCACAGGTTCACAGCTGATTGAAGGTGTTGTAGGAAAAGGCAGACAAGGCAGCAATGAATTTGTCCCACGAAGGAATTCACTGGATTACAGGCTGAAGAGTACTTAGACAGCTGAGCGATGATTATGACTGAAGGTGAATTCGAATTTGAATTCGCTCTCTTTGAAAAAGGGGAACGAATACGATGTTTCAAGGCGTCTATAATCTGATCTCTGGTTTGTGTTTACTGTGAAGAGATTAGATTGAAAAGAAGGCGAGCGGTGAAGGATTTGTAACGGGTGCCGGGGAGAATAGAAAATCCTTTCGCTTTACTCCGGCTTGAAGAATGATAGGTGCGCTAAGCCTCGCTTAAGCGGGAGCTTACCTTATCAGAATCATAGTGGAAGCCAAGAGTCAGCCTTATCCGAACTCCGAGATGCCGAAGCAGCAAAGAAGGTCACTTCTCCGGTCACCCTCCTTCTTCTTCATCATGCATAATGCATAATTGACAGGCTTGCTCTCCAATCAAATATCTTTCCATCTGCGCGAAGATGACCCATGATTCAAATATCTCTCATTCATCGTCAAATGCAGACCGCTATACGTGGCAGACTCTAACCTGGAGGGAAATGAATATCCCCTCGCCACTTCTAAGGTACTTTCTGGTGCCCAGAGAAATTAAAAAAAAAAAACAAAAAAAAAACACGGGACCTTCCTGATGAGCAGCCCAGTGATTGGATATGAAGTCCTCGCGGGATACGAGCATATCACTCATCCCTGAACGCCCATGCATAATGGAATTCTCCGACTGGACAACCCTACGTCTCGGCTCGACTGCTCCGGAGAGTCACGAGCAACAGTCCTGCACCCCTATGGTCCCCTATGCACGCAGGGTATAATAGGGGGTAAATCGATCCATGTGGGATAGAAGGCTGATTGGTACCTGAACATACCGAGGATGATACAGCACTGGGTGAATACCTAATTTTGATTAGGCCAAGCGTAAGCCTGACGTACATGAAGTCTGAAGCGACGCAGCCTTCTCAAAAAGGTTCAGCTTGCGGATTTCATAATACTCTCTTTACCTCAGGTCTGAGACGTAAGTCTTCATATTAAACTCCAACGACTTCTTATGATTGATCGGACATCCGTGTGTATCCCTGGCAATATCATGTCCTTGACAAAGCCCGCCCCCAGGGCTCGCCCTGCGGTCCCGGCGACCCCGAGCAGTCCCCGCGCCGAAGAAAACCAAGGCTACCGTAGAGGAAGGGCTATAAGATCATGTCTGGAATGTCGTCGCCGGAAAATGCGATGCAATAGATCACGGCCGTGCCAGAATTGCAACAGATTCTGCAGGGACTGCGTGTATCTTGCCTTCCCTGACTGGCCGTCCGGTGCGCCAAATAACGCCAATGGGGAAGGCAGTGCGCAGAGTCCGGCCCAAGGTGGCGGCCGAGCTTTTCCATCATACGAATCCAACCAACATACCGGTCTTGTCCAAACTTCTCCGTCTACTCACCACCGCCTTGGCTGTGACTCAGACGCGCTTGCCAAGCACAATGGACTTTACGACATGGATGCAGATGACGAGCCTTTAGATGTGGCCATACAGGTTGGGAGACTTAGCATCACGGAAAAAATCGGAGGCTTCTTCAGGCCTCATGTCGCCAGTCAGGTGAGTACCTTTCCATTCCCATCTCGGGCGCAACCTTCTTCGGTGGTACCTGAGACACCCGGAGAGCACCCACAACTCAGAGCTAACATTATTCTCTGTAGCTTGATGCTCTTCTATCTGACACAGATCATACCGCGCGCCCATACACCCTCCAGACTGCCTATGGCGCACCCATGATTCAGCGTCCAACCCACCTGGGGGCCGCATCTACTTTTGCTCTGGTCAAACGGGTTCTACCCCTCGAGCCTTCATCTGGCTTTCTGACCACGGCATCACAGTCCTTTCTCCCTCAACCCGGGCTTGAGCTCCCAACTGGCGATGAGCTCACTCTACTTTACTACCAATATTGGTCTGCTGTGGACTCTCTTGCTCACATCATTCACAGGCCCTCTTTTGAAAGAGATTGTCGCAAGTACTTGCTGCATAGTCAGGTCATCGACGCTGCTCCCGTGTCTTTCAAAGCCCTTCTTCTCGCAATGTGTCTGGCCGCCGCAGTCAGTCTACCATCTATGCAAGCCGAGGAGGTATTGGGCGTCACGCAACAGACGCTGGTCGGCAGGCTCAAAATTGCGACCGAGAGGGCTCTGACCAATGCCAATGCCATGAGCTCTGTCAACGTACAGACTCTTCAGGCTTTCACTGTCTATTTAGTAAGCTCTCCTTTCTTCGGTCAAGAGCAATGCACTTGTCTAACGTACGACAGATCCCTCAATATCGTGCAGAAATCTCAAGGTCGCATACCGTCTACGTCGGAACACTCATCCGCCTTGCAATGAGTGCTGGTCTCAATCGCGATTCTAGTGGTCCAAGCATGGATCCCGTCGAAGGTCAAGTACGCAGACTGCTTTGGCACCAGATTTGCTTTCTCGACCTTCTCACTACCGAGGCTCAAGGACCTCAACCGGTAATCCGCGATGGTAGCTTCGATACGACACTGCCGTTGAACATCAACGATGACGCTCTCGACTGGCCAGACAATAAGTCAGTCCCTACGTCTGGGTGGACAGACGCGACTTTTTCTATCATACAATATGAATGCTGCATAGTGATCAGACTCATCTACGCACAGCGGTTGGCAATAGAAAATGGCCAGACTGATCTCAAGACCGCCCGGAAGAAGGTTGGTGAGCAGGAAGCTCGCATCGAGCGCAAGTACCTTCATCATCTCGACAAAGCCATACCCATCCAGCGCTGCGCCAAGCTTGTCGGGCGGCTCTTTACCGCGAGATTCGATGCGATGCTATTACATCAACATTGGCAAATGGACGTTAAGAGTGAATTGCAGATGAACATCCGAGAAACGTACGCCTATCTCCCTTCCCCACAGAGCCAGCAGCAACTTCTCCAACGTTCCGAGGCTTACTTATAATCTATAGACTCGTCGAATCTTGCCTCGCAGTATGCGAATGCGCCGTCGCCCTCGACACCGACCCGGACCTCGCACCCTGGGCCTGGTACGCCAGAGCATACCAGCAATACCACGGATCTATCTATCTCCTCATGGAAGTCTATCGCGAACCCTCTACCCGCTACGCCGATCGCATCAACCAGGTCCTAGACCATGTCTTCGAAGCTACTCCCCACCTGAGCAGCACGGAGAGAAGCAGAAGCCTTCTCCAACTCCTAGCCGAGGAACTTGACAAGATGACGCAGCTTCCCAAAGTCAAGCATTCACAGTTCACCGTGTCGGATAATGGCAGTAGCAGTCCGAACGACCACACAGGCATGGCGAAAACCCCAGAAGACGGTCAACATTGGAATCATTGGCAGCCGGAAGTGATGTATCCGCAAGCCTACAGGCACAATCTGCCTCCTATGAGCGACGAAGGGTGGTGGCCGATCCCAGTCCAACATGGGATGCTTTGTGACTCTACGGTCCCAGAGCACCATGGGTACACGGGCCCACAACACCATGACTACGGCTACGGTATGGGCTCAGGTCCTATGTAAAAGGGATCCGAATAATAAGTCTGACTCGAGAAGTCTTTGCGGGGAATTGACGGAAAGATGGACGTGTGGCTCGAGCCTTCGGAGGATTCATGCGTGCTTATCTCAAAGCCTTGCGCAATCCCATCCCTGTTCAATGTAATATTACAAATATCTTGCCCCTTTCATTCACCCAATCTAACCGCACTTTCCCTCTCTCGCCTGCACTGATTAACAAATCTCCCTGCCGCATTCTGCCAACCTTCCCCGCCGCAGCGAATAAATGACAACCGATTCGACAGAAAACCTTCTACCCGTCCCCCTCCCCCACCCCACTTCCCACGAACCGCATACCCGTCCGCAGCACCTTCGCATTCCACCCCGGTACACAACCCCTCTCCTCTTCGACCCACCCATCCCAGACCCATCCATCCATCGATCGATCCGCAGCGAGGGCCAAACGGTAGACCGATCACAAGACCAATGATCAACCATCCTCTCCCTCCACTTGAACCCCCAAAATGGCGATGCATAATGACGCACACGTCAGCGCGGGGCCAAGCCTCCAAGTCACGCAGATGGAATTTTTTACCCGCCGTCAGCCTTATGTGCTTGCTTGGCATGGGTGGTACGTGTATACATGTTTACATAGTACTTACCTCCAAACTTAACAATCCCTAGAATATCAAGCACAATCACATCTAGCCGTTCCATTGTACGTACATGCCCTACCATATCACTCGCCACGTCCAGCGCGCGGACGGAGGGACGACGGGGCTCGGATACGAAGGATGGGGCTGGGAGGGGTGGGGTGGGGCAGACTCGGCACAGCACAGCACGGTGGGACGCTCGTATTCGCGACTGTGAAGGAGACGTTTCCTTGGCGGTGGTGGTGGCCGGGGATATCGGGTTAGGGTAAAGTAAGTAAGTAAGGAAGGCGTTTGTATGTTTGTATGTATGTATGTATATATAAATAGAAAGATAGATAGATAGGTACATAGTCATCCTACACACATATACTAGCCAAAAATTCTGAAAGTGGGAAGGGCGAATCATAAGCCATGTTGTACTCTTTTTTTACATCCCGCGCTCTCTTATAACTGGCACAACAACGTTCTACGAGGTTGTGCGCAACGGGCCGCAAGGTGTTGCGCAGAGGGTGATGAGTTTCGAACCGGAATCGTTGAGGAAGGAGCGCCGTCGGAGCTTGGGAGAGGAGGTATCCCTTGGGTGAGGGTGAATAGAGGAGGAGTACGAGGCTCCTGCTAGAAAGTATTGGGTACTTTAGGGGGCAAATCGGATTTCTGCCATTGTATACTAGCTAGTGATTACACTGTACTCCACAATAGCTTATTTGCGCACCCATAGGAGTAGTATTTACTTCGGGATGGTACCTTCGTTTACAGAGATGAGGGGTGAAAAGCGACTTAGAAGGCGGGTGTGTCGAGAATGTCTTCAGGTGACGACGACGCTAGGGCTGGAAAGGGTCTAGCTGATTGGTATCGCAGCCTCGCAGAGTTGGTGGGGCTTCGTTCGCTCTTTCTCCATCGTACTTGCCTTCCATCCTTCCACTGCCATCTTGAATTGAGAATTCAGTAGTCTGTATAGACTTACGAGAAGCTACTGCCGTATGGCTGCACCTCGTGAAGCAACATACTGGCTCCCAGATAAATCTCGGCCGTACGCTACCTTCAGCCTTGTATTATCCAACAAAACATCGTCCTTACCGTCCAAATTCCTCACTACAGGCGTCGTTACTCGTTCGAAGACGACCAATGGGTCTGGGCATAAGCTCAGCCAAATTATAGGAGTCCAGAAACCTGCCCCAAAGGCCAAGGCTAGGAAGCCCACCGCAGCCGAAATGAGGGCCCTGTTAGCTGCAGCCGAGGAGACTTATCAGAAGTCCTCCCCCGGACTACTCCCCGGTCCACTGGTAATCGCTACAAATACACACCTCTCAACAAAGAAGCTTCGGAGATAAGGCTCATAATTCTGCTGCATGGAATTTCGGGAACAGAAATCCACATCAAGCTTGAGACCATGGTACTGTCAGATGGTCAAATCCCGACGTACGAGGCGCTTCCCTACACGTGGGGTCCCACAGAGAATCCTGTTGACCTACGGATTGACGGAGTGGACGGAGGCAGCAGGCTTGCTGTGACACAGAACCTTGCAGAAGCGTTGCAGTACCTACGGTATGATGATGGCAGGTCACGCGCTCTGTGGATTGACGCCATCTGTGTTGACCGGCAGAATATCTCCGAGAGGGGCCACCAAGTCGCTAGGATGGCTGACGTTTACTCCAAGGCTAGAGTGGTCATTGTTTGGCTAGGTCCCGGACGTGATGGAAGCGCGCTAGCAAGGGGGGCATTGACCGATCTGGGATCTGAAATTGAAGTCAATTGGACGACAAAGGGCATTACCCCGTTGTCACGAGAAGATTATGATCAGTGGACCAAGGAACCACTTCTCTTTGCGCGCAACCAGGACATCATAAATTCAATAGCACATCTACTAGACCGTGCCTGGTTCACACGTCTCTGGATTTGGCAGGAGATTCGTCTGGCCAGAAATGGAGCTGGGATCCGTTGTGGTTACAATAGTATATCATGGGCCAGCTTTCGTAATGCTATTCTCTGCTTGCACGTCAAACCTACACGCAAAGCAAGCAAACTCCTCTCTGGCATAGAACGGGTGTTCCCCATCATCATCAACTATGCTGGAACACTGCGCAATTGGCATGATCTTCTGGAACAAACCAGCGGATTTCAATATTCCGATGACAGGGACAGAGTGTTTTCAAATCTGAGCTTACTACGTATCTCTGCTCGGTCTGGTCTTGAGCCCGATTACTCGAAAAGCACAAGTGAGGTCTACAAAGGGCTCATAGTACTTGATCTGAATTTGACACACGGGTTGAGACTTGTTTCTCAATGCGAATTGGGCGAAAGCAAAGTTAAAGCTCTTCCGTCTTGGTTTCTAGGTTTTACCAGGAGCAGGAAATGCACAAGACTCCGGGGATTCGGGGGTTCTTCAGGGTCTAAGGCACATGCTGTTGTCCAAAATGAAAGTGTCATGATAGCGACCGGTTGTCGCGGAGGAGATCTACACCTGGTGGCACTATCGAGGCGATCCCATTCTACCATGACCTGGACGTATCCCTACAAGCCGGCACAGCATCGTTATTCCAGCAGCTTATGGAACCGAAGCTGAAACGAAACAAAAGGAATATATAGCTGGGGGCGACATGATCGAGGCCCTTTGTCGCACACTATAATGCAACCAATTCTTTGAATCTAGTCTGCCCCCTCCGCGAGGATATCCAGACTTCGAAAAGAGCAAAACTTACCTGCTCAGATCAATAGAATTAAAGACACTTATCCCTTATCGATGGTTTACAGGGTATGTAATTCGAGCGGTCCAGGAACGGGTGTTTTTCATCACCACAGATGGCTACATCGGCTCAGCACCAAGCACCATCAAAGCCAGAGATCACATCTGCGTCCTTCTCGGATGCCGCACTCCAATAGTCTTGCGACCGAACGTGCTTGACAGTTACAAAGTGGTAGGAAAGTGCTACATGCGTGGAATGATGGACGGCGCGGCCTTTCTTGGTCCCATGCCGAGTAACTGGCGGCGCTTATTGCCCACGAGCTTGCCAATTATACGCGGTGTTGGTGAACGACATGACTGGTGGAGCTCGACTTGATCATCCTCGGCTTGACGATATACCTATACCACCGGGATGGTCTGTGGCGGGTCATCCTTATGATAACGTAGTCAATTGTTTTTCGAATGTCGACATTGGTAAGTAAAGGTCGGATACGACCCAAGGATGAGCCCGGAGGCATCAAAAGAACGCGGGGTCGATCTACAGGATTTCCGGCTGGCGTGAATGGAAAGGCCTGTCACCTTTTCAACACCTGCGTTTGGTCTGTCATCATATTTCCATGTATGACTTACTAGTCAACTCACAAAACAGCTTGGAAACGCCGATAATACGGCAACCCATTTGGACCAGGGGGTCAACCACCGAAAATCCGTTTTTCATTTTTCCATTTTCCATTTTCCAATGTTCGCTTATCCCACACCATTGCTACACACCAAGGCAATTACTTTAGATTCTGAAGAGTGTAAATTATAGCGCGTATTCTATAATATAATTTAGAATTCGAGATTATATAAATTAATTTAATATTGGCGAAGTAATATTCAATTAGAGATTTTAGAGTCATCTACCTTAACTGCAATCCACTCTTTAATCAGTGATAATAACTTCACAATAATTATAGGAGCTTTGGGTATAATAATTCCAAGTCTTCTTTCAATAATAGAACACTATTAAATAAATTATATCTGAGTATTATAGAGCCATCGCTTGCGTTTTGATAGATCGATAAATAAATTGGGAGGTGGCTATGAAAAATGGTTTTGCGATTTTGCGATTTTCAAAAATTCGAAATTGCGGGGTTGACCCCCTGGTCCAAATGGGTTGCCGTAGATAAAAGCTAACATCAGAGCTTTGTAACGAGTCAATTTGAATTCGGTCCTTACCATCTCGGCAGTTTCAACGTGGTATGCCACCCTTGAGCAGTAGCTGTTCCCTCATCCTACATTGACGCCACTGCAGCAGCCATGGTGTGCACGATCAAAGAATGGCACCCAACAACAAGATGGGTAGATTCTGAAGAAACGGAGGCCCGACGATTCCAAAAGCTCGAATCCGACCTATTCAAACCATATAAATGTGACGTATCAGCTCCCCAAAAAGAAACGTTTGTTGCCCCTCTTTCTAACTCTCACTCGAGTCACTGCTGACCAGTAGTAGTATGAGCCGCAACTATGCCGCCTCGCCTCTCTTTCGCCTCCCTCCCAAAATCCGCGTCCGAATCTACGGGCTTGTGCTCGACGGGATGCAGTTGTGGATTGCCCACAGTGAGTCCAAAGTCGAATTGGAGAAGCCAGAAAAGAACTCACAACCCCAGGGACCCCAATCAGCACAGTACGGCCACTATCGTCACCGGTGTGGACGTTCTTATCAATCCACGGCCGATTCTTTCCCCAGGACCAAGCCTTCCATCAATGTTCTCCACCTCGGCCTTTCGCGTGTCTGCGGACAAGTCTATACGGAGACTGCACTACTGCCATTCACTCTCAATACTTTCACTTTCAGCGACGATTTGGTGAGGAGAGAATTCGAGCAGACCGCGCGGCCGGGGGAGAAGAGGGTGCAGAAGAACGCGGTTGGGAAATATGAAATCGGTACGTGATTGGAATTTCATGCTCGGCATCGCCAGGCCCAAAACTCGGAGGATCAAGTCACAGGTTGCTTTGCGCGGAGTACGGGCACGCTTGAACTTGTCAAGGCGCCAAGGAGAATCCAGCTGTTGTGCCGTTCCAAAGCACGCACGAGCTACAGAACAATGAGATAATGAATATGGTAGTGCTATCTGGCTAGATCGGACATGGATTGACGCAAGTCTTGCATCTTTATTAGCAGCTATTAGGTTATGAGATCAATGCCTGATTCCAAAAGCCTCCACAATAACCACTGCATGTCCCACGATCTGTCCGACAACATCCCCACCATCCCAGCCTGCTTTTCTCTCAACCCTCCACCTCTCCAACCGCGACGAACACCGCCCTCCTTTTTCCAGCCCAGTAAGCCTCACAGCCTCTCAATTCTCTACCCCTAGCCCCCGTTTCTCCTCCCTCCTAACCACAATCCCATTCCTCCACACCGCACCCCAGCTCCCCTACCTCCATAATTCTCCGCCAGCATCGTCACCTCACACCCGAGACTCACTACTGGCAGCACGGACACACAGCCGTAATAGCGATAAGTGTTTTCAGCGAAGAGGTGGGCGAGTTTTTGCTCGGCATTTGGGAGTAAGTCTTTCCTATCGTCCTATGATCCGGATTCGAAGGCGCGGTGGTCGGGGAGGTTGCAATGAAGGATTATGAGGCGGGCTTCAAGTGCCATCGCCGTCGCGTTGCTGCGCTTCGCAAAGGAGTGTGAGATGGCGAGGTAGGAGAAGATTGTGAGCTTGGGGTCGGTTGGAAGGAGATGTGTAGGGCGCTGATAGTAAACGAGGCTGGGGGTGAAGCCATATCGTAGGTCTATTTGGATGCCTGGGTTTGTTCAACTTGACAGTTTGCTGTTGAGGGGAGGCGGGATGGTAAAGCTCGGGTGGGATTGGTGATGCGGTATCACTCCAGCCTAGTCATAGTCGAATGAACCTTGATGGAGGTGGAGATGGTGAGGGAGGGAGGGAGGGAGGGGGATGACTAAGAAGGGGTCAATGATTGTGCTATTGTGGGGTATAGACATCACGAGTGTCGAGGAGTGAAGCGTAGTGCAGCAGGAATGACATGACAGCTTCAGTAAGCTGGGTTCATGTGTGCCTGTCTGCTCTCAATGAGTCATTGGGTCTCAGGAGGTCAGCAAGAATTAAATTGAAGATTCGACAGTTCTGAAGTACATCGCCTTTCGACGACGAACTCGGTTGGTCTGGCCGAGGCTGACTGCCAAACGCGGACTCTTCTTGGGCCATGAAGTTGCAAGTGACTTGAACGATGATTTCGAAAATTGGGTTATCGTCGAAATCACTCTGACTCGCCAGATTCTTGTAAAGGAGTCCGCGGCTACCAGAGTACTCTCCAGTTTTTCAAAAGTCTTTCCGAGTTGTTCAGCAATCTTTCTTCATCGACAGCTTCCCGTTCTCTAAGGCAACCGCATCATCTGAGTTTATTCGTCCAGGCAAGCGAGTACCCTATGCGAGATGTATCATCCTACCACTATCCACTGGAACGATGGATCACAGACTATTAAGCAGGTCTCAGCAGAACAGAATAGAGACTTCGAGAACCTGTCGTGAAAGAAAGACCCACATTTCAAACCCGGCCCGCCTTTCGCAAAAACCTCCAATCATGTCACAGATATTACAAACAAGAACAACCAAAATGTCAGACACTCTACCCAGCTAGCCTCCCCACTTGAACCCTCAATGACAGGATCGGAGCGCGTTGATGCTCTTGACTGGCTCGATGAGCGTTCGGACTTTGGTCCGCTCGATCGGCTTGCAGGACAGATTGCTTAGTCGGAATTAAGTACCATGGAACTGAACGGAGGCACAGAATCAATGTATGTGATGGCGGATGCTCAAATACTCCAGGGAGGAAGGTAGGCGAAGGTAGAAAGACGAGGGCAATCGATGGGGAGAAAATTCAACGGAATGCTTGGGACCTGGCATCATCTACCTTGCAGTACAGGGTGTCGCCACGTGTGGAAATTCATGGGCATTGACTTGCCATCTGTACGCCTTGTCAATGAATCTCTTCACCATCAGATTCTGCCAACGCATCTTCCTCGGCATCTTTGAAGCCGCCATCGTGCCCTCGCCGACGCTCAGCAGCAGCCGATGGTACACCAAGTCCGAACAAGCGCCACGCTTCAGCATCTGGTTTGCAGGACTCGGGCTGGGGCAGATCATCGGTGGTATGCTGTCGTATGCGTTTCAGCAAGTCAAAGATGAGAGGAAGGAGGGATTGGAGGGCTGGCGCATCATATTTGCGGTCTTGGGGGTGGTGACTGTGGTGATTGCGGTGACGGTGGGGGTCCGGTTAGATGCAGGCGCGGTTATAGGGGAGGGGGAGAAGGTGGTGTTGTTGAGGCATGTGGCGGTTAATCGGACTGGGATTCGGGATACAGGGTCCATGCCTAGGCAGGGACTTGAAGTCGTGCTTGATGGGCAACTGTGGTTCATGACGTTGCTGACTATCCTGATATGCGTTATTGGTTTCCGACGATATCTCATTGCTGATTTACCCTGCGACTTAGATCTCAATCTCAAGCGGCGTACTAACAACGTACTCCGCAACCCTCATATAAACCATCAGCTTCTCCTACCCGAACTCCGCTCGTCTCAACACTTCCTCCGGTCTTGTCTCCATTGCCAGCACCCTCACCGCTGGTTACGACATCCGCTACACCTCGCATCGCCGGGCCTGGCTCGTCTTCTGCTGTATACCCGGCATCTTCGGCGGCGCACTCCTCTCCTTCGCTACGCATAGCTCGCAGGCATCTATCTCGTCAAGCTCACCTCACTGATCATCATATATCAGTGGACTGCATCCAACGTTGCACGACAGAGAGTGGTTGCCATGAGCCTTGTATCGGGTAGTTTTAGCGTAGGGAATGGTATTGGGCTGCAGACTTTCCAAGCCAGAGATGCGCCGAGGTACATTCCGGCTAAGATCACAGTGTTGGCGACCCAGGCTGCCGCGGCCGGGGTCGCAGCAGTGGTGTTTTGATACCATGTGTGGGCTAACAGGCGTAAGGATAAGGCAATGCATTCTGGTGTGGCGGTGGCGGTAGAGGATCGGAGCGAGCCAACACATTTCGAGGGGACGGAACAGCGGTTGTGGGAGGATCGCACTGATAAAGAAAATGAGATGTTGAGATGTGTGTACTAAAGGTAGGCAAGCATTCCTAGAGGTTACCAGACTCGGTTGGCCGCATGGCAAAATGTTTCAAGACTGGATTTCTTGTTTCAAATAGCACCGAGATTGAGAACTGGCATGGCTGCGGCGAAACTATTTTTGGGGTTCCGGTAACTCATCTCCGTCCCTGTCCTTCTTCTATCATTTCCGCAAAAGCTTTCGTTCTGATACCAGATGGGCTTCTTCTGAAGCAACCAAAGCCTCAGTGTTTGGTCAAGAGAAGGCAATATCGGCGTGTCAAGTCTCTTGACCGAACGACTTCAATGCACAGCCAATGTGATTCCGCGCCACCAGTAAGTCCAAACAAATCAGTTTGGGAGCAGAAACAACAAGGCCAGCGGTGCACGCCTTGATACCACCAACCAAAGAGGAACCCCATCATGGAAGTGTCAGCTTGACGCCTCCACTGCAAAGACCGAGTGCGTAGGGCTCGATACAGTGCACTGAGTGGAGGCTGTTCTTTGTGTCCACATAACACTGCTTCGTGGTTCGCGAACAATGACGGAAAGCGCGGTGAAAGAAGACACAGCGAGCGGCGGACCACACAGTGAACACCATTGTATAATGTCACATGGAAAGTCATAACACACCACATCCATATGCCACCACAACACCTCTCCCTCGGATCTCGTCTTTATATCCCCTCCCGAGCACCAGAGCCAACTCATTCTCCCACCTAACCCACCACCCCTTAATCTGTGCTCTCCACCACTACACTCCGCTCCACTCAACAACAATGGGCTGCGCCCAATCCCGCCCCTCCGCAAACTACTACGACGAATACTTCCGACCCGCCCAACCCCCTCACCGCCGTTACCGCAGCCACCGCATCGCCAACGTAGACGGATACAAACCTGGACCCGACTACCGAGAGCATCGGCAGCAATACGAGCAGGATGTCGCGGCGGACAGGTATGAGGATGCGTACGACCGGCTGACGGCGAGGAGCAAGCTTTCTACGGCGCATGGATTGCAGGAGTATTATGAGGATAGAGGGTGGAGTTGAGAGCGTGGGGGGTTGGGTTGGAAATGTGTGATAGATGCGCCTGGCGTTTGTTGGGGGGGATGGCGGCGGTCTTGAGGATGTGAGTTTGATTTCGTCGTGGGTTATGAGTTAGATTGTTATCCCGCACTCAAGGCGATATCACTGTGTGCTTCACAAGCAATTCACAGTGTTTCGATCCAGGTGTCATGTCAAGTGGTGGGCACAGCAGAAATCCGCGTGCGGCTACCAAGCAGGCCTCGCGGCACCTGGGCGGATAAAAGCAATAGTAGCCATCCGCACCACTTTCGCTGCTTCACTTTTGCATCAGCCTGGACTGTTTCCGGCGCTGAACCGGAATGCATGCTGGATCAATCAGTAGTGTTGACGCCAATGAATGTAACTCAACACCCAGCTCTCACCTCTTTCACAAGACCTGCTCTGACCACTCACAGCTCCCTTTCAAACGCCATACTCTTCAACTCATCACCACAAACCATCCACCAATCCACCACGCCCACAACCCAATCCAGCAACCGCACAACCCTCCACCAAAAATGGGCGCCACACTCTCCTGCCTCGCCAACGACGTCTCCATCGCCGACCACCCGCACGAAGCTCCCCTGCCAGCACGTCCCGTATCACAACAACAGCTCTCCCGGCGCCAAATCCAAGTCCCGCGACGTCAGCCCCTGCAGCTGGAGTACTCGAGCGAGCACGGTGACGAAGTTCCCAGCTACAGACGCCAGGTCGCTCAGCGTCCACGACGCGAGTCTCTGCCCGTGGACTACGTGGACGGACACGAAGAAGACGTAGCGCGGTTCCCCGGCGTACGATCTCAGCGGCAGCGGCAGCGGCCACAACGTCTGCGGCTGGACTATCAGTACGGCCACGATGAAGAGATTCCCAGATTGCCGTATCGATCATCCCCGCAACGTGGCGCTTTGCAACGGGAGGCGTCGTACGATGAAGATGGCGACGACGAGGGCGAGGCTTCCGTCTCCCCACCGCAGTTCCCCCCGCACCAGCTCCCACGGCGCTCCTCCCTACCCCCACCGCACTCGTATTCGTACGAATATGATAGCGATATCCTTCGCCACGAACGTCGTCCTCGACGTCAGTCCACGCGACCACGGTACGAGATCGAGGCGCTGCCTGCGCCTGTGTACGGAGATGGGTTGCCAGAGCGGCGGATGAGGCGGGATCAGGGTTTGCGAGGGAGGGAGAGTGGGTCCGGAGACGCTCCTCCGAGTTATGAGGATCATGTTTTTGATCGGGAGGTTGGAGAGGGGTAGGGAAGGTTTGGTGGGCAGGGACGGTGGGGGGTTGGAGGTTTAGGAGGTTGAGAGGAGGGGTGTAAGGGGGGGGTGAGGGTTGTGGATTGAGGGCGAGGAGATGGAATGGGATAGGATTGGATTGGGGAAAATACTTGTGCGGTAGTGGATTGAGTACGAGTATCTTCAGCGATACAAGGATAAAAGAAGCATGCAGCAAAGTCGAAGATAGTACTAACAGACAAATATTCTTTCATACCGAAAAGATCACCAAAAGCCTAAGAGTTAAGTATTTGAAGCGGTCACCATTCCCATAGCTCATGGCATACTCATGAACAAACTCAACATCGCAGGATAATTCGGCGTGCCCAAACCAGTGACTAGCCCGGGTAGTCTTGTCAGTATCACCGTCAAAGCTAGGCGCGCAGGTGCACTCACCGGGATCCCATCCCTTGGCGACCGCAAACCCTTGAGTCCCACAGCCAGGGTTGCTGCCGTTGGTGATGTCATGAAGGACCTGAGGGTTGGAGTACTTGAGGCGCAGTCAGCAAGGAAGTGGCCGGGCATCTAACGCTCAATGACTGGGGGCCCACTCACCAGTGTTGGGTTGACGAATCCAATGGTCTTCTTTCCTACGGCAATCCTTTCCTCATTGATCCGATTCAAAATGGAGGCGAAAGTCGGCGCTGCAGCCGATGTACCACCAATAAGCGTTGCTGCGCCCATATTGAAGATGACAACGTTGTCACCAATGGCAGAGACGTCTGGGTAGCCCCGTCCATTTTTGTTGTAGATGCCTCCATTGGCGCCGAAGCTGTTGTTATTGGTGCTTGAGTAGTACGGATACTGAGTCCCAGCGGTCGAAAAGTAAGTCGCTACAGCACTGGCTTGGTAGCTGGGGATGGCGTAGATGTTGGAGAAGCCGCCGCCAGATGGGAAACGCGTGACGGCAACTTCTTGGTCTTTGGTCACGTCACCGCCTGGCGGGAGGAACGTCGCACCGGCGGTCGTAAGATATGGGCAAGTGGCTGGGAAGTCAGGGGAGAAGATGTTGCCGGTGGGACCAAGACAGCCGTCAGCACTGTCGTCACCAGCTGGACCCGCTACGCCGGAATCGCCTGAAGCGACGACGAGAGAGATTCCCTGCATGCCGAGTTTCATAAATTCGTTGCATTGGCGTTGCTGGTAGGACGCCGGTAGATCGGCTTCCTGGCCACCGTACGATATAGAGATGACATTGGTTGGCTTGTAGACGCCGCATTCGAGCGAGCCCTTGAAGCCACCGGGTTGAGGGTCGGGGTACGGAGGATCGAGAACGCTGTTTCCGGTCTCATTAAAGGCGGAGTAGGTGCAGTAGGAGCCATCAATTGCATCGAGGAAATTGTTGAGGAACCCCTCGTAAGTATAGTTGGCCTCATAGACATCGTCGTCGGTCTGGAAGAGAATAGAGTTTTGAGGGTAAATGATCGGATACGAAATTTGGAAGTCCAAATCAGACTCGGGTCCGGCATCTGTTACAGTGGTTGGAGCAGTTGCACCATCAACGCTGTCAAGGGTAGGATGGGTTCCTTGTGGGATATTGGGAGCAAGGGTCAAGAAAAAATCATTCAGATCTGTTTGACTGTACATGTCATCCAAGTCCTCAAAGATTCCCAGTTGATTGCCAGCGGCATTCTTGGTCGGGGTGGTGATGTTGTAAAGAGTCTTGATACACAAGGGGATTGCAGCCACATCGCAAATAGAGCTTAGAGGTGCCGCCAAGATTGAAGCGAGCGTTTCGGGCAACGCCTTCATCTTTGGTTTAGTGATGTGCTGATTTTTGCTCGTTACACCAAAAGTTCGCTTTTGCAATTCCGGATCCTTCCTAGATCTCGAAGGGGTCAAGAGCTTCAAGCCCGGAGTGATGTAATCTACATGCTCCCGGACATGGTGTGGGAGAGAGTATCTATCTCTAGTCAACGCAGGATCTCGCAAGTATGGCTGGTGGTTGCTTACCCGTCGCATCCAATATTGGTTTTGCCAGTGCCATAGTGAGCATAGTTGTAATACTCGGCCTTGATCAACGCTTCTACTTCGGAAGTGGTAGCATCGAATTGCAGCCATTGCTTGTTGACGGATCGAGAAACGCGGTTTGCTGCGATTCCGGAGTCTTGTAGCCATGCGCTCACCGTTTCGACAGTGTTTGGTTGCGGAGCGAACATGTCATGGATTTCTTCCACGTTGTAATGCTGGCCATATCTATGTGATGCTGGGTTTGAACTAAACTTCCAGTCAACATAGAAGTCAGATAAGTGACCTGGGGCGTTTCCCGTGAAAAAATTTGGACGCTGCGTGATGGAATAATCTGAGTTGGCAAGCTAACAATATAAATACTACAAAAGCCTGAGAAACCCAGGATGAAACAAGGTCTCAAGCAAAGACATCCATCGTTGACATGATAGCATAGGGGCAAGATACATAAGAGGAGGCATGCTCACACTTCATCAAGCAGGCGTGGGCCATTGTCAAGGTTGCTCTGCGTCAAGCCGATGCGAACGGGTAGGACAGTCGAAGGATCAACTCGCGAAAATTTTACCCAGTTGAGAGGTTCCGATTGTCGCTTCTCGTGCACGACATGAGATGTGGAAGTAGGAGCGGCCGTTGCAGTAAGCGCAATGGCGCCGAAACAAATGAGAGCTTGAAGATGCATCTGGAGGGCGTGGAGCAATCAAAGGGAATTTGGGATGGGTAAGCTGCAGAATGGCGACCATACCCGGATACATATACTCGGCCATGGGAGGGGCAAAATTCTCACTTAGCTTTAGGTTTCGCCTTCGGAGAAATTCCCAATTGTCGCTGAGCTTCCTCGTTCGATGCAGACACATGACAGAACATGGTTGCAACCGAGCGCATCCGCTGGTGATGCTCATGCGTGGTCGTTACAATCATTGGCTCAATCTTTTTTCTATGACGTCGATCATGCGCAAATCGGAATTCAAGAAAATGCGCTGTTTCTTTTTAGATAGGAGCTGACAATCGCCTTTGTTGATAATCAATTGGTGTGGTGGCTGCAGCATCTTGATAAGGTCACGGACGGGTTAGACCGAGAAAGCCAGTTTCCTGTTCAGGCAGGTCAGTCTGCACCCTAGTCTACGCCAAGTCCGAGGGGCCCAAAATGAATAGCCAATCAGCCACGAAGCTCTTCACAGAGCAAAAACCTCATCTCGAGATATCATTCGGGGAGATGTTCGGTAGATGCTTGGTCTCACGCGTATATCGGACCATGCCGATCTCCCGAATTCGAATTAGCGCGAGGGGCCAAAGACAAACAATGCCTTGTCCAAATCAGATAGATGTCTCGGACCCTGGATGCCAAAATGTGGATTGAGGATATGGCAATCATGCGCTCAAAGGGATATTCTTCGCCACGGCATTTGTCGAGCTGGACCGAGTTGATGTTTTGCGTTTGGATTGTCTCGCTGTTTCACCACACACCCAGCTGAGAAGCTCCAGACCTCGACATCGATAATGCACCATACCACCTGGAACAGACAGCCGGCGAGACATCAAGATCCATGGCATGCTCCGTACTCGTACGTGGCGCCGTGATTCATTGTATCAGAGGCAAGTGCCGCCTTAAACGCATTGATGTGGCGTCCAAGGAGTCTTAGATCTCATTCACCATCTGACAAGAGTAGTCCCAGTGGGTGTACTGTCTCAAAAGATCTGCACAGACATGATCGTTCAACGAGGGTATCATAATCAAGTACTCAGAGACAGTCGATGAGGCTAAGAGTGAAAACTGAGAAAATCTGCCTCACTTGCCTCCGTGATTGCTGCAATCACCATATGAGTGGAAGTGATAAGCTGCGCTCAAAGACGCAGGCAACTGGCGTCACTGCTGTGAAGTTGACACCTCTCATTACCGCTCATGCAACAACATCCCGTTCAATCTCTCTTTCGAGTTCATGCTGCTTGCAGCTGCAGTGAGTAGACAATCATATGCGTATACATGATCATTGAAAGCGACGTATGTCTGTTTCTTCTGTCCTTTGCAGGCTGAAAGGTTCATTGGTGAGAGAGTGAGAATTTTAGCCTGGTGAGCCTTCTGAAAAGATTACTTTAGCATGCGATCGGGATCGACAAAGCACGGTCTTACGCTAACCTGTAACAAGACTAGCTTCGTATTCGGGAAATCGGAAATTGAACGTTTACTTTACTTCGTTAGATCTATCATCATCCATCAATACTTCGAGATACTCATAGTAACACGCACTGATGCTGCACTTGCCTTCCGTTCTTCTGTGGGTGACTATGATTAGAAATGCCTCGAGGACGTCCACCTATCCAACGAAGCGAAGAAGAAGCCAAGATAGCTCGAAGAGCTCAAGTACGCCGCAATGTTCAGGCTTATCGACTACGCAAGCACTCCAATGGTGTATCCGGAGAATCTCAAATATCGCCTAAGGAGCCGTTCAGTTTCGTGTTCGAAGAATGGAGCCAGGATGATTTTACGCGCCCATTGGACACAAGTCTTAATGCGCCACCAGAGCAACAGTATAACCTCACGAGACACGATGGTGGCCGCGGTTAAGTGGATCATTCTTGCAAAATAGACGCATCTTCGGAGATCAACCAGAACTCGCCCATGTTCCGAAAATTCAACTTGTTGGTGGAAATACCTCCGGAGATAAATGCTGCTCGAGTATCCCGCCAGCAATTCACATCAAACGCTGCCACTGCATTCTTCCCCACGGTACAGAACGGAGATCCTGTTTCCTTAGAGACTGGCCCGCACTGGGCTCAACTGATCCCAGACCTCGTCAATAAAAACGATGTCCTGGACTCTTCCATCCAGGCTCTCTGCCTCGTGCAGATCAGTCACGTCATGCAGGAACGTTGGCTATTACGAAGCAGTCTCACATTCTACGACAGGGCACTGCAAGCGTTTCAGGGAGTGATAGCAGAACCCACTCAAGCATTCAAAGCCGAGATCTTCGCAACGGCCATGGCGCTTGCTACTTACGAACTGCTCCAGGGAACTAACGCCAACGAAAGCCGTGGCTAGATGTACCATATCGAAGGAGCCTCTTCCTACCTGAACGCCTTCCCGAAGTTTGGTGTGTGCGCTTTTAGTCATCAATTGTCTTCCCATTTTCTTGAGACTATCTGCATTTTCGACGCTCTTGGTGCTCGAAAACCATCTTGTTTTTCCACATCCAAGTGGTGGCGAAGTACCGTTGACCGGTTTGGGGACGATATGTATGGAGCACTATTGCGCATGATCACCTCTCTCCCGACAGTACTTCAGCTGTGCGATGAATCAATGGTGTTGCCAGCGAGCGTCGAAGCGTACGCAAGGTGGTCAGCCCTTCTTCAAATGGCTTTCCGACTGGAGAAAGCATTTCTAGACTGGTTCCACACGATGACGGCTCGTCTGTCACTTTGCCAGCACACTATTACCTCAACACTACAGGAGACTTCGGATCCTGACACATCGCAGCCCGAATTCTCATTTCCGAACCTATACACTGCGCGGCTCTACCTTCTGTATTGGTCATCCATGATCCTTCTCTACGATACCATGGTCGATCTCCTTCGAACAACACAGTCATACTCAGAAGCTGCAAATACTGAATCAAGTGACCTCCGTGATCCGCTCTACAACACCTCCAGGGTCGAAAGTTACATAGGACTTTCTTACATATTCGCAACTAACATTCGCCAGTCTGTCCGCTTCTGCCTGAAACCTGAGAATGGAGTCATCGGTAAGACTCTCGTTTTGCTGCCGCTGTGGATAGAGCGGAATCGTTTTCAAGAATGTGATGGCGACCAAGCTCGTTGGTGCTCTACTTTGCTCGATCAACTTGGGCAGCGCAACCTTTCTTTTGGCTTGCGCGTTAGCCAAAGTACTCCGTATATCGTTCTCAGATAATCGTCGGGGTGAGTTTAGCGCCGCACCGGACTTATATGAACGCTTTGGATATACGGGTTATTGGTCACTGTCTCACGACTCTCGCATGAATGCACGAAGTCTGGGTTTCCCGTACCATCCGTTGTCTGCAAAATTCTATCCGGGACACTGCCGGGCTTCGCAAGCCCCTTGCGCCTCCTCCTTCCGGGTTCAGACAAAACGTTGTTCGTTGTTCCTCCGGAAAGAAGGCAAGGGGTACCACGAACCCCCTGCAAGAAAATCAATAACTAGAACAAAGCGGTTCATCAACGCTGCCCGAGTTGAAATAAGACCACATCTAAGAGGGGTCATCGACACTGCTAGTGCTGTAAGCTAACGCCGTGTGCACGGGACGTTGGGGCCAAATGCGGCCTCCGTGGCGGATTCGACCCGGCGGGACGGGACGGTCCTCAAGAGTGTGCCGAGCCAGCCTTTCGCTTTCTTTGATGGCTTAACCGTTTGTAGTTGAGCTTCAAAGAGCGAAACCCTTTTTTCATGCCGTCCCCGGATTTCGTCGGAGAATTTAAGGTCAATGGACGGCTTATGCAGAGCATGCACGCCATGAAGGGCTTGACACACCACCTTCATCAGGAATGATTTTTCTTTTATGCTGATAGCCTCATGAGTAGACTTGGCATCATCTAATTTGTCAATGCAGTCTCTGAAACAGCCTTTTGGGGACGCTGCTGTCTCTTCCTCGGGTGAGGCAGTGTTAATCGGCCGGGCTCGTATGGTCGTCCTCGGCGTGGAGACCTAAATCGAGCTTTTGCCTATTGTTAGACTGTATTCATTATATACAGTGGACATAAAGCCTGATCATCTACCCAGATCTTTCCTAAATCACAACGCTTTGTATTTCCAGAGTCTCGGTTCTTTGCGACAATACTAATATGTCCCCACAATGTCACCAATGGCTTTGATCAAGCTCGGTGTCTTACCCATCAGTGTTATCTTTGGATGTTCCCTTCTTGCGAATGCTGCACCTCACGATATCAACTCCGCCGCTGATGATGCTGCTCTCATCATATCACTAAACCCTCTCGACCCTGAGGCCCCTCTGCCGGATCCGGCGAGAGGCGGTACGCCGAGATCAATCGATTCCCCTCTACTAGTCACGGAAGTCTTAGGCTTCTCAAAATCCGCAGGTTCAGAGCCAACAGTCAACTCCCTCAGCATTCTTTGAAATGCTCGTTGAACTCCGTTTGATGATCTACGAACATCTCATCGAAGCTGGAGATCTCGGCATTCTCACCTGCTGTAAGGAGAGCCTAGGCACAACCGGAACGGAAAGTCTAGGCGTTCTACTTGATTTCTGGGACCAATCTGTGGTCACGGAGGAAGGTTTCAAATGGGTTTATACAGGCAAAAGTGTTTACATGATCTGCAAATTTTATGCCAATCACCAGAAATCCGACGGCTTCTGGGACCACGTGAATTGGATCCGGGCCCCCACACGCGCCAACGTGGGCTATAGTCCTACCAGCAGCAGCCTCGACACCAATGGGTGGACATCTTCGACGAAGATCGACCCGTCTACACCTGGATGGGATACCCTCAAGCAGATACGCACTGCGCAGCTTCCTACCATCAACATCGGCACTCCTTCAATCCACTGGCGACTAGATTTCGACGCTGCTCAATCCAGTGGGCTCACTTGCAGTGGCTGTCTAAGGTCCTGGTCTGATGCGGAACGCTGTGGAAAGAGATTCCCTACGAGGAAGATTCCTCTAAGCTTCACGTCTTTGATTATGTCCTTGGAGATGTTCGGGTGAGGACCAAAGGGACCGCAGTGAGACATCAAAGCTCTTTGTGTTTGTACCATGCGCAAACAATCCCATTGCATTGCGGAAACGCTGGCTTTGTTCTTCATAAAGAGCGACTCCCAATCCTTCTCCCCTTTGTTACCAACATAAGGCAGCACAACACCGTAAACCTAATCCTCATCCCATTTTCCACACGAGATTTTCCTCGCGCAGATCAGCCAGACCCTTCATCAACTCACTCACACACTCCTCTAAAATTCCCGGCACCACTCAGCCTCGCATACAAAGAACGTCAAACGCTCCAATCCACTTACTCTGAAACACTCAACCATGGCAAATCCCATCATCTCAACCATAACCCTCGCCCCCCGCGTCCCAAAAGGCCGCGCAATCGTCACCGTCACCGCCACCGACGAGGTAACAGTCTTCATCACCGACGAGGTAACAGTCTACATCACGGACACGGTTGAAGTAACAGAATCAATCTTTGACACCTCATTCATCACCAAGACCGCCACCATCACAGACATATCCACAACTACAGAATCAATCACAACCACAGAAACGCAAACCCCCACTCCAACCCCAACCAATCCCACCCCAACCAATCCCACAACCACAAAGAAAGAAACAACCCCTCTCATCCCCTTCATTCGCCCAATCGATAGCAGCACGTCCCTCCTCTCCGTCCCCACCCCCCTCTGCTCAACCATCCCCGCGCCTTCACATGCGTCTGTGGCGAAACACCTCGATCCGTTCCAGGTCCTGTCGATCGTATTCGGCGTCTTCATACTCTTCCTGCTAGCACTGATGTGGTTTCTAGTGCGAAGGTTCTACAAAATGTACAGGGCGGAGCGCGTGCTGAGGAAACAAATGCAGACGGAGGGGACGGAGATGCCGGCGATGAGGGTGGCGGCGAGGGATGGGGAGGCGCATGTGGTAGGGGAGGAGTGAGTGAGGGATGGGACTCGGGTGGGGTGCGTGGGTTGGTATTCTTGGATTTCAGAATGGGTTCTATTGTAGGGCGAGGTAATTACTCATAGCGAGAGCGGAAATCTTTGGGCTTTTGCTTGGTTTGCGCCTCCGGTTTCTTCCTCGAAAATCCAGGAACAAATAAACCAAACTCCTCACTCCTTTGATCCCCTTCACATCATTCAGAACCCATCCATCCACCATCGCGCAAAAGTCTTTCCGCCCGTCGTAACCCATATTACATCCCACCAACCCAGCAAGCTACAAAAAGCAAAACAACCTCAACACTCCACCCCCGGACAACCGCACTGCCCACCAACCAACGCCCCAACATCGCACCCGAACTTATCGAAAATATGCCCCAGATCCGCAAAGACGTCGCGCTTGGGCAGGACGACGAGGCCTTCCTTGCCATCCGTGTGGATGGCGTCGTGGACGGATCTGGCCTTCACGGGCGCGGTGAGACTGCTTTCTTGGCTTGACTTCAGAGAGAGAGAGAGGTGTGTTAGCAATCTTCTTGGCGGTGGGGTGGAAGGGGCTCGACTCACTAGAGCGGGTGCGCGGGCTTGGGGAGTGTTGCTGAGAAGGTGAGGGAGCGGACCGGCCGCTGCGAGGGTGGAGAGCACGATGGGGAGGAGGGGGATGAAGGGGAGGAGGAAGTGACGCATGGTGGTGGGTTTCTTTGTGGGGTATGGTGGCTGGTTTAATGGAAGGGAGGATGGAGGAATGAAGATTGGGCGTGGAGAGGATTTTCTGAGGAGATGGGACTTGATATAGGGGTCCTTAAGGGTAGGACTTGACATTTGTGACTACGTCCGCTATGAAAAGTGCTATTAGTGGAGTAATGGCGCTAGGGGCTGGAGAGTCAGCATCCATGGATACGAATCGATTTTTCAAGGCAAATTTGAAACGATACAATCATTGTTTCATCACCGAAATGAAATGTTTCGACACGGATGTGGGGAAGGCGCTAGGAACAAAATGGTTGTTTCACAATGGCGCAGTGTCAGAGTCATGCATAGAAGGGAAGGTGGGCAGATAGTTGATGATCGACTCTCTTTATATCTGGCTCCGGTTTCACTATCCATTCGGTGTGCCAGTCTTGCCTACTGGCAAAGAAGCTGATTTGGGGCAACGGCACGGGGCATCAGTATGTGGACCGTATTACTGGCCAAAGGAAGGTTAATGATGAGTGAGCCAGAACAGCTTGGGACGTGATACGTTGACAAACCCCGCCCCCCACCCTCGGCATCCGGGTACGACTTCCAGGCTGGTCGGGTGGGGCGCAGTCTTGAGTGATTTAAGTGCCGTGGTCTTGCTGGCTACACTCTTTCGGTGCGCTGGATCGTGAACAGACTAGCCCTTTGGGGGTCAACGGTAGGCTGATCCGGAAAGTGCCATTGAAAATGCGAAGCAGAGTATGTCGGGTCTGACCCCCATCGTACCCGGACACAGTGCCCGGATGTGAGGCGGGTGTCAACGTATCAGACGCCAACAAGTTCTTCAGCTGTGGCGTTCGCGCTCAAGCACCTTCCTCTTTCGGGACTTGGCATTGAGACTAGCTTCATGCAGAGGCGGGCTGACAGGCTGAACCATTTGTCGATTTGCTTCATGTTTCTTTTTTTGTTCTTGGTGTCCCCTTGAAGCATTATAATCTACAGTCAAAGCGGTACAAAATCCAAGAGTCTGAGACGGAGGCGACAAATGCAACACTGCCAAGTGTCCTCCTGCGCTCAGAATTCGTTTGGAAGCCTTGCCGAAGTGTACTGCCGCGCTCGCCAGCCCAGAAGAACGGTCTTACTCTTCGATTCGAAGCCCGCGCGCAGTGTTTGGGCAGGCTTGAAATTCGGCTCAGATAATGAGTCAGCCAGCTGGAGGCGTTGGATTGCACTCTCGACAGTAAGTGCTACCCTTCTCGGCAGCTAGCCTCATTTCCTATCCTCGGTCGGTGCTCAAGTGAATGCATGTACTCATCCATACAGTTTTAGAACCTTTCAGTCATGGAGGTGATAGGAGCTGCCTCCTCTATCATTACTATACTTCAGATCATCGGAACCGTAGCATCTTTCTGCTACGATTACCAAAGCGGCACTCGGCACTACCCCAAGGACGTCGTCAAGATCACACATGAGCTGCGGAGCCTTCGAAACATTCTTGAGAGACTTGTAGATATCGCAAACTCCCAGGACGACTCGGCCTCGATAGCCTTGCCCACATTGGACTCGCTCAACCATTCCGGAGGCCCCCTCGAAATATGCAAGGTAGAATTGAAGCAACTAGAACTCAAGTTGGCCCCAGCACAAGGTCGCCTCAAGCAGGTTGGGCGAGTTTTAATCTGGCCTCTCAAGGAGAAGTATGTCCAGAAGACCCTTGGTACCTTAGCCCGCCAGCGGGGACTTTTCCAGCTTGCTTTAACAGCGGATCAGACCACTATCACCTTAGCAATAAAAAACGTCACATCCAGGACCGAAGAGACTTTGGTCACTTTGACCGAAAGACTTCAAACTGTGGCCAGAAAGCAGAGGATCGCACAGATTTTCGGATGGCTAGCGGCTCCAGACCCATCTTCAAACCATATTAAAGCCTGTCAGACCAAACAGCGGGAGACGGGACGTTGGTTTCTAGAAAGCTTGAACTACATCAACTGGAGGAACCAAAGAGCATCATTTCTTTGGCTTCATGGAATCCCTGGCTGTGGTAAAACTGTACTATGCTCTACCATCATCGACGACATTGCTCCCACGTGCCAGACGAATGCTCACAGCATTCTAGCGTTTTACTATTTCGACTTCAACGAAATCAAGAAACAGACTTGCGAGGGTCTCGTGCGCTCGCTAGTTACTCAGCTATTTGGTCAATGTTCAGAGAGTTCAAAGACAATGGAGGCACTTTTCATGGAATGTGGCGAAGGTCAGAGAAAACCGACCACTAAAAGTTTGGCTCAAGCTTTGAGAGAACTCACTGAGCAGTTTAAGGAGATTTACTTCATTGTGGACGCACTCGATGAGTGTGTAGATATACCAGCAGTGATTTCATTGATTGATGAGATTCGTGGCTGGCAGAATCAAAATCTGCACATCCTCGTCACAAGCCGAAAAGAGATAACTATAGAGAAAGGATTTCGACTCTTAACCACTGACCAGGTCCAGATTCAGAACCATCTCGTGGATGCCGACATAAAGCTGCTCGTTCGCGAATGTCTTCGCGGTGATCCTGAATTGAGTCAATGGTCTGAAGATATTAAAGTCGACGTTGAGAAGACCCTATACGAAGGCTCCAAGGGAATGTAAGACTATTCTCTAATCGATTTTTCCTCGGATCTTCGGTCAACTGCTGTCCATTGCTTCCCTAGCTAATTTAACTAAGGTTTCGTTGGGCTGTCTGTCAATTAGATACCTTGCGTAAGTGCATCAAGCCATCCGCCCTCCGGAAAGCTTTGGCTTCGCTTCCAAAAACGTTAGACGATACTTACGAGCGTATACTGTGCAACATCGACGAAGACCATGCTGAAGACGCCTTGAAAGTTTTGCAGTGGCTTGCTTTTTCTGCGAGACCACTGGAATTAAAAGAAATCGCCGAAGCTACTGCAATAACACTGGACGATCTACCTAGATTCGATCCTGAAGATCGACTCCGTCACCCCACAGATATCCTAGCCATCTGCTCTAGTCTGATATCTGTATCGACTAGACCCATCGGCTTATCTTTCAAGTCATCATTAAGGGGAGGCTCTTCTCTCCCGCAACCATTGCCAGAGCTGGTGTCCACATATGAAAATACCTACTTCCATGCTAGCCGGCCGAAGGGGGATACGAGCTCGTCTGGTAGTATCTCTTTAGAGCATGGTTCCACTTTTCCATCTGGTGTGCCAGAGCGAGTGTCTGTAGTCGAAGATGCCCGTTCTGCTGACAGCCGGTCAGAAACAGAATCTTCGGACGAGCATGATCAAGACTATCCTCGTCACTATGAGGTACGCTTGGCGCACGACTCCGTCAAAGAGTATCTCGTCTCGGAGCGAATCAAAACAGCCAGAGCGGCTTTCTACAGCATCAGTGAAGCCTCCACAAATGTGTTTCTAGCCAGATCATGCCTTGCTTATCTAATGCACTTCAAACAACCACTGAGTGACTCTACAGCTGAGTATCTGTCCGAGTATCCTCTACTCCGGTACTCTGCCCAAGAGTGGGAGTTTCATGTCAGCGGTTCCGGAGATCTGAACCGCGATACTCGTATCATTTCTATCTTGAAGGAATTCTTTCTCGCCCAAAACTTTTCCTTCGCCAACTGGCTAATCGTGCCTTTCGGCCCCTATTTTAGCAATTTTCAAGTCATGGAAGAGACAGCAGACGATGGCGCAGACCTCAAACTGGAGGGGCGCCTTTATCACGCATCTAGACTTGGCCTACTCGATATTTGCAAGATACTTCTAGAGCAAGGAGTGAGTGCAGACCCTCCCACCGAGTCCACTACCGGCCTGGTGAAAAGTCTGAGCACTCCTCTCCAAGTTGCAGCGGACAAGGGGCACGAGGGCGTGGTCCGATTGCTGCTCGACCACGGTGCAAATGTCAATCAGCGTAGTGTCTACGCCTCCACGCTAGACTACGCAGTGATGGAAGGTCGGGAGTCGATCGTACGGCTCCTCCTGGAAAGGGGCGCAAAAATCACCATTGAGGCAGCCTCGGCTTATTACGGTCTGAGGGGCCTTGCTTCCTTGGTTCTCGCTGCTCGTGCCGGCCGCGTTGGCATTGTGAAGTTGATACTCGACAACGGAACATACCCGAGGGCGAGAGAGTCATACAGTGAAGCCTACCAAGAGGCGATTACGCAAGGTCATCAGGTGGTCGCAGATCTTTTGCTAGAGTATGGGGCAGATCCGGACTATTTCACTGGGATCAATGACTCAGATGGCTCAGATGACGAGTACTTTGACATCGAAATAGGAATGAGATCTCGAGATGGGCAAGGAGAAGTGAAATCTATCTGAGGCGATGAGGAAGGTCTTCACGATATTTAACGCGATGAATGAAAAGAGCTACTGAAAGTCTATCGCCTATTCAATGCTCACACGAGACGCGATGCTAAGAGAGGCAGTTTCGGATTCTATACATATATGGCTTTCTATGCCGGGCAGTCTTCACGACGGTGGATTTTGACTCTAGGCCATTCAGTATATCTGCGCTGAAGTATGTGAAGCAATCATGTCAATTCTGAGATGCTTTATGTTGTTACTGACGCTTTGCCTGTTTTCCTAGCGATAGATACTTAAGATACTTATCATATATAATAAGGATCTCGTTCTTTACGATCACTTCTCCATTCAAGACACCTACTCCTTGCGTCCCAGCCAAGCAACAACCGCCAGCATGACAGTAGGCAATCCTCGTAGACCACCATCTCACCCAGCGTCTCATGCATTCTCGTCAACCATGAGCTCAGCTCGATGAATTACTTTCATTTCTGCGAGTGTTCCGACCACCCATTTTTCGCGGATGCATGTCCGAGCTCGGTATCTGCCGCTTCAACAACGCTCACTCTGAGCTCGCCGCTCGCTGCTGTAACCCCAGCCCTCACGAAGGGGGATTTCACCCCACACACCCCCTCCCCCCCCCGGGAAAAAAAAAAAAAAAAAGGGGGGGGGGGAAAAAAAAAAAAAAAAAAAAAAAGGGGGGGGGGAAAAAGAAAAGAGAAAAAAAAAAAAAAAAAAAAAAAAAAAAAAAAAAAAAAAAAAAGAAAAAAAAAGGGGGATGTCATGGAAGAGGGCGTAGAGCGCGACATCCTTGCCGACGAGGAACATACCGGCCTCGATGGTGTCATTGATTCAGCGCGTAGTTTCCATAACGATGGGCACCACTACACCTTCTCATCAAAAGTTTCACCATACGATCTCATCGTCTCCAAATCATCCTTACTCAGCAACGCCTCTCCCTCTCTCAAGACATAACTCGCCGGATACACCAACCTCTTCACCCCGCCTTCTTTGCCATCTTTGGCTCTCTCCTTCGCTCCCAGGCCCTTCACAGCCGCAGAACCGAGCAAGCCGCCGTAAGAGTGCAGTAGCAGGAGATTTCAGCGCGGTCGTCTACCAAGCTGCTCACGACTTTGCGGATAGCGGCGACATCTTCGTCTAAGTTCTTCAGACTAGGTGATGCGCCAACTGATGGGAGTGGAATGACTGCAACTGTGGAATTGGCGTTTTCGGAAAGCGGATGCGATGGGCTGGTAGTGGGCGGGTCTTTGGCAGGCGACGGGGACGATGACGATGGTGGGGAGAGGCATTGTAGATGATGGATTTTGAGATGAGTTGGAATGTTCTTGTCAAGATGGATGAAAGATGGATGAAGATTGGAGGGTTCTTATGTTGTTGAACGCGGTCCCCTTACTTACAAATCTAGATCAAGCCAGTCCACGTGACTCGGGCCGGAACTGGCGTTGTACCGAAGAGCAACGGAACTCTACCAGTCAAGGTTAGAAATCAGGAAGGTAGGGGCTGTATAATCATCCAGAAGCAAAGATATGTGACACGTTTGCTTATGGAAGTTCTGCTTACTCGCATGCCAACGCGCAAAGACTGAGAACATTTCCTTCATCATCACCATTCATTCACTATGTATTGGATGATGGCGGCATGCTATCTTGTCTGCAGTCATATGATCTATTCGTACATGTCGATTTCCTCTAATTACAAAGCGCCGTGAATGGCGTGAAAGCTAACGCCGGAAGACTGATGGCTTTATCTTTTCAACCCTGTTTGCAGCTAGCTGTAAAATGATGCGCTCTATGATGGAGCTTGCCATACCGAAGAACCTTCTCCTTATTATTTGTGCCGAAGCCATGTGCTTGAAAATCACCCGCTTCGGACTGGTTTCCTTTGTCACCCAAGCCGAGCTTGTGGATGATGTGGGATTGGAGGCGAACACAAAGGCCTAATTCTGTGTCCGGATGCGGCGATGGTTCAACGCGATCGCTTTACGAATCGTGTCCAGTCTCAAAGGATATACATATACGCCATTGCTTGACCTTTCTCGATGTGCAATTCTAGGCTTCTAAGCTTTTTCGGAGTATAGCGCAAGTCTTTGGACGAATTGCCATCGAGGGCCAGTATATGGCTTCGATGATCCTTTCTTAGTGCATCCTCGTTTCCGGAGTCGTCTTTGAGATATTGTAGTTGGATGCGACAAACCTCTTACATCTCTGTCGAAAAAGTAGCAGGCCTGCGACTGGTTTTCCCCAAAAATTTGTTACTTCAACTCTACTGTCCTGTGCACAATTGCAGAAGCGGCAATGGCACCAAGAAACAGTAAGAAAGAGAAGCTGGAGGATAGAGTCGAGATGGTGGATAGTGTAGTGATACCTGCTGATCCAGACGATGGAGAAGGCAAGGCAGAAAGTGACGACGGAGACAGCGACAACGGGGAGAGTGCTGCAGGGATGGACGATCGAGAGGATGATGAGCAAACGCTGGTCCAGCATGAAACGAAGAAAAAACCTACAAGAGTGCTGAAAACCCCCGAAGAGAAAGCTGCCACTACAGCGCGTGCGGTAGCTGCAGCAGAAGCTGTAGGTCATCTCCATGGACTTTGATGGTCGGAGTACGTGCATGAAACCTACTCGCTAACAACCTCGACAGCTCTTGAGTGACCGTTTTGTGTGGAAAGGTGGCAAACCAGAACCCTTCGAAGATCTAAGACGGGGGCCAAAGGATGATTGGGAACAATCCACGGATGAAAGTCACTGCGATTTCGTCAACCGCCTGCATAGGAATTGGGAAGAACTCGAACAGAAGACGCGAAGCGAACTCATGGAACTCAGAAACTCTCAAGCACCGACTCCCATCGGCGATGACGGAGAAGTTGAATACGTCGATGTCGAATGGAAGGGTCGGGACATTCACTGCGAAACCTTTCTCAAAATTGACTTGAGTGACCCAAAAGATGGTTTCAAATCTAGCCAGATACTCAACGATGTCGACCTGAAAATGGCGGATTATGATGAGTCAATGACCCAGGAGAAAAGAATCAGGACGAAACTCGTCAAATATCTAATAGCCTTAAAAGCAACGGAAGCGAAGCTCGCCACGGAAAAGGAAATTAAGGAGCTCATTGAATCAGCATACGAAACAATGGGCAGCCGCGAGCGAGACCAATGGGAGGACTGGATCGCAGACGGAGAAAGAGCCTTGGAAGGGGAGGACGTTGAAGGGTTTCCCAGAGCTAGAGGCCTCTACAAGAAACGCTATGCTGCCGTCACTGAAAGCTGGGAAAGCTGGGGAAGCGGGGCCAAGGAGTGGACCAAGGATAAGAAAATGAACAACGACCGCAATCTGTTTGCCTCTGATTCGACGAATAACATCCTTCGCAGGCCCACCGTGGATGGCAACGCGAGTGCGATCTACATTGCCTTCGACCGGAACGACAAGATCATCGCTTTCCTCGATCCTCAAGGCATCCCGTGGTCCTACGATGACGACGTCCACAGGCGCATGAAAGACGACTCGCACGAATTCTACTCGAAGATAAAGGCACCCAACCCCAAGAGCAACAAACGCCACATCTCCCAGCGGGAACATCTGAGAGACAACGCGGCACTCAAACCGTACTGGTGCGGCAGCGATCACTACGGCCACTGGCACGCCCAACAACACACCCGGGATCCGATCCTCGAAACCGGCGACTCGCACAATCTCAACGCGACGCAGAAACAGCTCTTGCTCCAGTTCCTCCAAGGCACGGGCGGGCCCATGACCAGGGTGCTGGATTTCTGGTTCGGGGTGTGGGAACCCGAGCTGCGACGGCGCTACCGCGACATCTACGCCCAGTCGCCCGAGTTCGCGCGATTGCCGCCGGTGAACGAGGACCATCCCGATACGTACAGTCTGCGCGTCAGTGTCTGCAACCGGCCCACGGACGAACATCGCGATCAGATGGACATCAGAGGAGGTCTGACGGGGCTTGTGCAACTGGGTGATTTCAAAGGTACGCAAAGCTGTCAGCAACAAACAAAAAAGGGACGAGAAGACTGATCAGTGCAGGAGCGGCGATGTGTATCAACAAGCTCGGCATCGCTCTCGACGGGTACGGCGACGGCGCCGTGCTGCTTTTCAGAGGCACCGAGATGAAACACTACATCTCGCACTGGTCGGGCGCTTATCGCTACGCCTTTGACCACACGACGCACCAATCGGTGGAGGACGCGATCAAGGAACACGAGAGGACCGATAGGTGGGGACCGAAAAAGGACTCCGCGACGCCTAAAGCTCCCAAAGGCGGCAGGAGGACCAAAAAGGCCGACGACGGGGACGACGGAAAACCGGATGGTGGCGACAAGTCCGGGAAACCGCATGGCAAGACGAGGAAACGCCCGCGCGACGAAGATGAGGAGGAGGAGGGTGCTGCTGCTGCTCCCGCGCCTATGAGGGGGGGGGAGGAGGGCGGTGGGGAAGGGGAAAAGGCAAGGCAGGGCGGCAACACGGAAGAGTGGTCGGGTTGAGGAAGAGCAGTTTGAAGGTCAGCTGTCGGGGAAGGGTGGGCACAACCTTCGGCGGAGAAAGGGTGTTGGATCTTCAGTGGAAAAGGTTGAAAGTGACATTGCTGGGAACGATGCGCCCGCTATGCTTGGAACGATAACGACGGGTAAGAAAGGAAGAGGGAGGAAATAGAGGGAGGAGTGGGAGAGTCTTGGTGGGTTGAAAAGTGGTAGAACGGTGAGAGAGCTCGTGATTGGACTGTGGAGATACTATGGGAAGCGGTGTTTTGGGTAAGGAAGTTTGCAAGATGAGCACGATCTGCGGTGGTGGGGGGGGGGTCTTTTGCTGTTTTGACTATGGGACAGGCGTTTCTGAACTCAACTTTTGCTGGGCTTGCAATACTCATGTCATCTTGTCTCTGCTCTCCCAAAACGAAGTCACACCTATTCAAAGTTTATCTTATCTCAATACTTATTCTTTGAATCCTACATCGCGCTTGAAATACCATTGAGACTCGGTGCTTCCACTCGCGACGGGTGAGTAGCCGAGCACGCTTTCGATGAACGAAAGGATGAGAATGGGATTGATGCTCGCCCAGCCGGCGCGAGAGTCACCGGGCGTGATGGTGAGTGAATCGAACAGTGCACCATAGCCGAAATGCGAGGCTTGAAGCTCGGATTTGAGAATGGGAAGCTGTGCAGGAGTAAGCCTGCGGCCCGCAAGCTGCCGTGTAGAAAGAGTGGGATTTATTCGCGAATCAAAGGTGTAGAACCCACCTTGACAGAGATGTTCTCGATATCCCTGGTATACTTCTGCAAGTAGCCGGTAAGAAGTTCCAAACTCCCCTGATGACTTCCTTGCACTACCATCCCATTATGGACGACCTTGACAATCAGATGGTACGGCGTTTGGGCGGCAAACAGCATTTCCGGTCGTGGGAGTTCGTCCAGGGATGGCATTGTAGTTGACAATATATCAGTAGTTTGTCCGCGCGTTTTTGATGGCATTGTCACGTCGGCCCAGTCCTCGTCTTCAGCGCCTTGCGCCTGAGCTGAGCCAGTCTGCTTGGAGCTTTTGGTGAAGAGCTTTTCAAACTCGGTCATGAAGCACGCAGATACGTTTTTGTATGGAGGCAATGACTCGGGGATGCCGATAGTGAACGTTGCTCCTGTTTTCGCGAGCTCCGTTTTGACTTGAGTCCCTGGTCGCGTCTGATCCCATGATTCAACATTGGCCAAGTAATACTCGAACGCGCTTCGAAACCAAAGCATTTCGACGTAGCGTTTAGACGTACCTCTACTCTGGCTTTCAAATTCCTACCACTTTGATTGACATGCTCAAGAAGTTGCTCGGTCCATGCCGCGTTCGCATCGTCTGCCAACCTCTTTGTGAGACAATCGAGCCATGCTTTGATCACAGTGGTGATGCATGGCACAAATGTACTCTGGTCAGAATAGAACTTTTGCAGCTCGCTCCATAGAATCAAGGGTTCCAATTGTATAGTGACGGGCAGCCCCAGCAAATCTTTGAGAGCTGCAATTGACTTTCGAGCTGGACAATCTTCTTTTTCCCAGTGGTCACGAAGATCCATTCGAATCTTTAGGGGGCTGTTCTCTGTGTCAGCTTCATTCTATGTCGGAAGAAAGTGCTGACTTACATTTTTGCCATACTGTAAGTCAATCTATAATACTGCAACTTTGATATGTGTAAACGCACTGCTGAGACAAGCAACAGTAAAGGCTTGATATCACACAACTACAGCTTCAGCCTGATGAAATTATGCACCTCGTATAAGATGCTCCGGTTGGAATCCATCCGAGGCAGGCACCTAGGCAAATCCATCATATGCCGGTATATGGAGCACATGGCGAGTTCGTAGGTCAAAGTCAAGTTGGCGATCAAAGGCACAACCTCGTACTTTACTGTAGTGCATTGGGGGCTTTTTTCAGACTTCACAGAACCAGGTTGCTTCGAATCCTGGTACCTTAATATACTAGTACCCTTGTGGGAGAAAGAAGCGAAGGCTGTGTAATGGTGGACCTAAATTGTAGGGGCACCAGGGGCGTGGTCCACCTCAAGAAATCCCTAAAAGACGCTAAAAGCTCGCTAAGTATTTAAGTAGCGGCAAGTCAGCGCTCAGCCGCTCCTTAGCCTGGGAAATCCCCCTGGAAACCATGAGATCTGGGCTCTAGCCCTCGACTCAACCTACCCCACCAAACGACCGTCTTCAAACCACCACCTGTTCGACATGCATCAAGCCAGTCTCAAATCTTCAATGCGCGTTACCTATGGGGTCCAAGGACGGTGGGCTAATGTAGAGGCAGATTCCAGGCAGCGAGGCTAGGCCTCACCACCACTGTTATCGATGTACTCAGGGGAAATGAACCGTCGAGGACAGAGACATAAAGAGCCCAGCTCCCACGCCATGGTCCGTTCATCATCACCCAGACACATCTGCCTCTCGCCGGAGCACTCAGACCCCTCAACCCTACCTTCTTCATAACAACTACCAGACTCAGCCGAAAACACACCCTTCCTAGCCAGCCATGGATTTCCTTAAGAAGGCCAAACAGACCATGAAGGAGCTGGAGGGAGACCTGAACAAAGCCACTGCTCAATTAGGCTTCGGTGATAAGTCTCAAAACGGAGCTCAGGTTCCTGTGGCCGTAGAGCCCGCATCCAGCAACAGCACCCCCGCTACCAGTACCATCAATACCCCATCGACTTCTGTTGCCCCCAGTACCGCTGGAGGAGACGCCCCAAAGACCAAGCTGCCCCTGGCCATCCGCAAGAATGGTATACAACCCTTCCAGCCAGATATTCGCAGACCTGAACGCTGACTGCTCGCTCAAACCAGTCCGTGACGAATTCGAAACCAAGATCCCCGAACTCGAAGCAAATCTCTCCTCCGTCCTTGGTCAGCCATGGAAGATCAGTTTCGATCCAGGCCATCTCTATACCCTAGCCGAGGACCGCTTTTCCAAAGAGAAGCCCGGCCAAATGTTCACCCAGTACATGATCCCAGCCCCCTGCCTCTTCCCAATCCCCATCCCACACAAGCTAACGTGGCCTCCAACCCTAAAGATACTGTCAAGGCGCCACCAGAGGCATCTCAGACTACATCGAACAGTTCGGCGCCGATGGAAAATCCGAACTCAATACTCTTGCCACGTCCCACACCATGACCCTCGAGCAGACCACGAATCCCAAAATCAGCTACTCGGGCTGCGAGATCAGCGGCGGCATGCTTCGTCTCGTCTTCCGTGATAAATACCTCGGCTCCAACATTAATACCGTGTGCGCCGAGCTCGCCACCGCTGTCAACAACGCCGGCATGTCGTCCAACCCCGAGGGTGGTGCGGCATTGGACTTTAATGCCAAGAACGGCATCAAGAAGGACTACGAACCTGAGATTGGCAATGTCAAGGCGAAGATACAGTCGATCCTCGGCTTGCCGATGTTGGAACTCCACCCCAACTTCGAGCGCAACTTCGCCGCCATCGCAGCCTACACGGCCTCCGGGAAGCAACCGACGACATACCCACGCGAGTGGCAGAAGAAGCTCGGGTTTCATACGTTCAAATACTTTGAGAGTCTTGTCTCTTCGCTTGAAGAGCAAGGCTTCGCCAAGGACGACATGCTGCAGGAGGGATACCAAGAGACCGCGGACAAGAATGAGATCGGGCTCAGGATTGTGGATAAGTTGCAGAAGGGTACCTATAACGAGTGCGTGTTTGAGAACGGGGTCATGTATATCCAGACAACGCCGCAGTACTGGACGTCGAACATCCGGGATGCGGGCGCCAAAATTGTGGACTTGCTGTAGGCAAGGATCGCTGAGGATATCATAGAGCACGAGGTGGACGCCGGGAGTAGTAGTGTAATTATAGATGTAGGAAGGCAACCTGACTTGTGTTCTAGGGCTTCTGATAGCTAATTGCCTCCTCCCCTGCCTCTACTCACACTGAATCTACCTTCTCTGGAACCTGGTCCTCTGGAAGCTGTTGGTCACAAGAGCCAACTTGAATCTAAGGAAGGACCGTCCTCGCTCTCGATTGAATGCTAAAGCCTATTGTATATCTTTGCTGGCAGCTAAGGGGATTGCACATTGAACGCTTTTCGACACATTCTACCCCCCACACTAGACCGAGAAGAGTTACTTCTTGATATCTGGGTATTCACTTCTCTTCAACACTTTTAAAGAGCGCTAGACCAAATGGAGGAATTTTGACAGCGTGAGCTTTGAGATTCGGGTTTGCTTTCATCTCATCTACTTGTGCTTGACAGCTGAGACGTTGCGAGTTTTTATAGGATTCGTACGATACTTTATCTTCAACACCTTTATTCCTGACCACTGCTCTTCAACACTTTTCGAGAGCGCTAGATCGAATTGAGGAATTTTGACAGCGTGGGCTTTGGGATTCGTGTTCGCTTTCGTCTCGTTTATATCTTGATTGTTGAGGTATTACGACGCCGCCGAGCTTTGGAGGTTTGTCCTAGTTTTCAACATTTGTATTCATACGTTAGATCCATTTTGGGCATTAGATTTGGATTTCGATTCAACACAATCTCTTTTCACAAGCGCTCGATCCATCAGACATCTCTTGTCACCGCCAGCCTTGAGTTTCTTATTTTCTTGGTTGCAAGTCCCGGCTCCGAGTCCGCTTTTTTTGGTTAGACTCAGCTCCGAGTATGGTAGCTTTGCGGTATCAGATATACCTGAAACGCGTTGAGAAATAATTGATCTCATACCGTTTTTGACCCGACTCGGTCGACGGTTACAGAATATGGAATATTTGTTTCTGTCCTGGGAAACATCCGTGCTATAAACATGTTGGTCAACACCCATGGCTCCCGGAACTTATATCTTTCTCAATTTTAATCAACACCAGTAGAACGCAATATTTGAACGATACATTGAAATCAACATGGCGGCAGACTCCTTGAATCTACTTACCCACCGTCTCGCCAAACAAACTACCTGCTAACTACGAGTGCATTGTAGGCCTGCTCTCATTTGCCACAGTAAAGGCTGAAGCGAGGATCGAGTTCGGTTCTGAGGAGACTCTTCCACCAAACCATTGGCCGATGGAGCGAATATCTCAGTGCAACAACATTACAGGCAGCAACTGCATTTCAATCTGCTATCACTCAGACGAGGAATCCAAGAATCCTTGCCCTCTCTCGCGGCGAGTTTTTTCGCCTACATAGGGATTGCGTGCTAAATCGTGCTATCGTCGACTCTTTGCCATGAGAGATATCGAACGTCATTTTGGATTGTCTCCAAATAGCGATCGATGAGGATCGTCGTAGCCTAGCGTCTAACTTTACAGAAGGGAGTTAGTTGGATTGGAACGGACGTTGATTGCTGGTATTGCCTTGGGCGCGGAAAATGCATTCAGAACCGCATGAAAGTTTGCGGGTGGTTTCACACAGGCCTACAATCCTACCGAAATATCACTCGTCGAGGAAGCATTGAATTTTTTTGGCGGCTATGTCATGTGTTCGAAAAGATCGAAGGGTTCTTCCCACCTTTGATGCACGTTAGAGAGAAGTCTCCTCAATTGCTCTATCTAAAGTCTAATACCGATGACGAGGGTTTCTCGTTGGTGCATAATGATCCCCTCAGCCGTCTACATTCCGAGACGTAACAATCAGTGCTTTGGAAGCAAGGCACAATGGCCATAGTTGACCCATCATACCTTCTGAATTGACCCGATGACAGTAAAAAATTAGCTATCCAGATACATAGGCAAAGCTGGGGTTTGACCCGTTTGTAGTGCAGCTGTTGTTTTGTCATTGTGCACGAACGTCGAGGGTTTTCCCTGCGTGAGATGGGATTCCATGTGCGCCTTTCTTGCTCGACGGTAGTTTGGCGTAATATCCCTTTTGGTTGGCGATAACCCTCTTGCCGGTCTCCTCATCTTTGAAATCGACACTGTAATGCGTGTGGCCAAATGCCCACAACTTCACAGTCGACCTTTTCCAACATATCTGACCGCTGAGGTCTGTCATCAACCCCGGATCGACCGTGCTCTTTTCGTATCCTGGATTCTTGGTCCTTCTATCTACCGAAGGGCTATAGTGAGTTAAAGATGAAGATCTGTCTTTCGGGATCTGCCTCGCTGATTTTCTCGACCTCATGATTTAACCACTGCACGTCCGCTTGGTGACACTCAGTGTGGTCTTCCACGTCCCATTCAATGATGTCTTTGAAGTCGACAACGCGATCTACCACTTCCCTTGCCTGTTCATGAATCACTCGCGAGAATAATGTACAGCCCAGAATGGTCACGCCGACATTTGCGCCACTGGGGAAGTCGTATCGCGTCTGGTGCCGGAACACAAATCGACGAATTGATGCCGTGACGCGGAGCCTCTCGATTCTGGCAGCAAAAGATGTCATGCGTGATTTGGCACTGGATAAGCCGAATAGGGATATCATGAGCATAAGCTTGGTACAGTGCCAGAGACGTGATTGGTGTGCGAGCGCTATTCGCAGGAGCGTTCCGAGCTTATGGAGAATGCCGCTCGAGATACTCGATATTATTATCGAGAAAGTGAATGGCTATCAATTTCGATGGAGGAGGGCCTGAGGATGCGAAAAGTGCTCACCAACGAGAGGAGAGAGTTTCAGGAACGGCATACAAAGACTATAACGCAGTACGCAGAGTGGGACTTTTATGGGGAGCCGGGGACAGAAGACGGTGGTGATGGCGTGTGACTTTGTCTCCCGGTGACTCAAGGAGTAAGAGCGAATCAGGATATGCACTGGAAAAGGTTGATTTAGGTCTGTACATGTGTGAGGAGTGATATTGACCGGAGTTCTATACTTTGAAAGACCCATATGGATCTATTATATGTATGAGTGTGAAGTTTTCAAGTAGGAGAATGTTGCAAAAGTCATGCATGGAGGAGATTTCGAACTTTTCACATTTTAAGAAGAGAAAAGTTCTCTTTCCTTTCGCTTAGGCATGAATTTTAGGAAATTGGTCAGGACAAATTGACTTCTGCTATCAAACGAAAAAAATCAAGAGAATTATACGCGTATGAACAAATCCCCTTGCAGATTGAATGACGAACTTTAGGAAAGGGTGATAACTTCGCCCTCTTTGTCTGGCACCGCGCCTAGAATACAGGACTTCCGTCATATTATGAAGGTCTTTCGCCTCCTAGGAATGAATCATTATTAGGAAAAGTGTGGAAAACGTTACTTTTCTCTAGCGCCGCGTGGGACTTGTACAATTTCATCACCGGTTTTCGCCCTTCTATGATCCAGCGGCTACAGAGCCTCGGTATCCCTCAACTTAGTCTCAAAAAATGTTAAGAAAGTGTTAACACATCTGAGGACACACAATGTCCATTGTGTTAAAGTGATCGGGCTATAAGATCATGGCCAGCATACTTTCTTACTTTCTTTCTCAGCCTTTGACATCAACGCCAAAAGCGACAACACCTCATTCTCCGCGACACATAGATCCGTCACTCGCTCTAAGCTCCACTAGAACTCACCAGGATGTCCCTTCATGTCTCTCACTGCGTCCCCTCAGATGGTCTCACCATCGCCACCCTCGAAACTGCCACCATGTCCAGGTGTCTCCAAATCGAGCTCGGCTCCGCCACCCCTAAAGCTATGAGAGAACATCTCGCGCAATACTACCCTCTATTCATCGAGGGTGCTGTAGCTACCATTGTTAAACAGGTCTGTCTCAAAGTTGTGGACGTTGAGGGAATGGTCGCATGGGCGGCATGGGAGCTACCATATGACGGACCGGCAAACCATCAACCCGTAAACGGTGTGCCTCCAATTTGGGGCATGAACATGGGATTTGTGATTTCGCTGAGTCGCGCCGAGATGAAGATGCGCAATCGAGTTTTGAAGGAGAAGATGTCTTTTGGTAAGTCCTACGGCTAATTGAGCTTACTCCATGAGACTTCTGACCAGGTTCTGTTTGACGGTCAGTGCTGAACAGCCTGGCTACCTCTCCCACCCATAAGGGTGATGCTAGTACCCTGCTTCTGTCATGGCCATTCCAACGAGCGGATAGGGAGGGGGCGATGTGCTATGTCGATTGCGAAGAAGGAGGGGAACGAGCGAAGCTTTGCGAAGAGTTGGGGTTCGTAAGGATGGATGAGTGTCATATTGACCTAACGTTGGGTGGGTTGGAGGGTATTTATACGCATGTGGCTATGGTAAGGGAGCCAAGAAGAGATTAATGCTGGAGGGTTAGGAAGGGTTTCGGGTGACCGAAAGGATTGATGCCATACTGGGGTTGCTTGACAGGAAACATATACCGATACAACTCGCGTTCTAGCATTGAGATAGAGCTGGTGGGACTGTCAAGAGCATCTTCCCTGAATCTTTGATAGTACCAACAATCACAGTGCAAAACTTATTTGGGCGTGGGAAGCAAGGAGTGCCGGAGCAACATCACTAGGAAGCCGAATGCACTGCCAACTCGTCGCGACTTGATTGTATTCCTTAACGTATAAAGATGGCGCTCTTTACAGCCTTTCGGGGCATAATTGCAGAGTTCTTCCAGCTAAGGAGTCCAGTCTTGAGCTCTTGAGAACAATTCGTAGGGCTCAAAAGCGCAAGAGCATAAGTAGCATGGTCTTTCCACAGAGAGAACCACGAAAAACCGTGCTGATGCCAAGAGACTAAGGTATTATTGAGATTTAGCGCTGGTGTATCCTATTTGCCATTACACCGACCCGCCGAGCATGTTGTCCTTCCTTCCTCTTCAATCCCAGCGTCATGCCAGCCTTTGACTAGAACGCTCCCAGCTTTCCACAGTCATTTGACGCAGGACTGAGAGTCTACGAGAAAGCACAGCCTGGACCTGCTCTATCCACGCTCAGCGTCTGCCATTAGAGGAAGCGTCGGCACGAACCATTTCTACTCAATCGAACCTGAACCGCAAGCTACCACCCACATGGACTGTCTCAGTGCTTTACCAGAAGAGCTGACATCCGAGATTGTTCAACGGGTGGCTCATAAATCCCTACCTGCACTGGTATCAGTCTCCCGTCAATTCCACCGTCTGGTGCTCCCTAGGCTCTACCGTTGCGTGCATTACAGCGGAATCGATACATGTGACAGCGGCAGAGTCAATAAAGGATTTCTCGTCTGTGCAAATTACGCGACAGCGATAAGACCCGCTCGTGGAGATTGGCCACTATGCCAACCATCGAGGATTGTCAGGCTCAGTCCTTTCCTTGAATGCATCACCACGCGTCCACAAATCCGCTCCTACATCGCTACTGCAGGCTTTGACTTGTTGGACACCGATTCTGAGGCTACAGTTGACATGGTCTCTTACATCATAGACCTACTTCTACCGTCGCTGCAGACATTGAATATCTCACCCGTCTTCTACAAACTTGACCCCCTAAGAGACATAAAACTCAAGTCACTGAACATTTCTCACGAAATATGGGCGAACCGGGATCCTGGAAACTCCTACGTCTTCGCTTTGTTCCGTATATCGACTCTCCGAAATCTCTCCATCGAGATTGCAGCAGATTGGGACACGTCTCCTCGGTGGCATCGTCCTCAACATTCTGCAAGGTTGAGAACTTCAAACGTGACATCGTTGTCCTTTCCGACCGGTATTCCTTTCGGAGATGACTTGGCAGAGATCCTGTCGTGGCCTAAAGCTTTGGAAGTCTTTGAGCTTGGACCGCCTCCTGTTCGCAATAAGAAAGTCCTTGCAAATGTGCTCTCCCCCCGAAGACTGGCCGAGTGCATTGGTTTACAGCAGAGTTCACTCCGTGAACTCTGCATTATCGAATATCCATACAAGCGCACCATAACAGATATTAATGACGCCACCTTCGGAAATTTACGTAACTTCAAGGCATTGAGTCGCCTTTGCGTGCCAAAACGTTTGCTGGTGGTCTCAGATGAGTACAGAGAGCTGTACTTCAAAGATAGCCAAACGCCGCCACAGATCTGGGAAGTTCTGCCTCCAGCAATACGGATGTTGAGACTGGAAGGTGAACCGCACTTCACGTGGATTGTTAGACTTTTCCAACCCATGTCTCCTCCCCTGCCAAAAGAGCTCATGATGCAGCTGAGTGAGATCGCTAAACATAAGAGATTGCGATACCCAAATCTGCAAGAAGTCGTGTTGGGGCAGCCACGGTTGGCCGAGCCTTTTCAGACCTTCATTTTGAAGAGCCTTCGCGGCAACTCCGGCATTATCAAGGATTTCGAGGAGAGTGAGATACGGCTTACGTTTGCGCAAGACCCCGAGACGAGCGCACCGAGAAGAAGAAAAGTCGTCTAAAATTTCCTGCGACGTGGCACAGGTGTGTTCAACTTTCGGCCGCGGTGGCTGGTGCTGTGCTGCTCAATTAGGGACGAGTTGCATCTGCCTGCTTGGAGGCCGGCGGCTCCTTGATTCACGAGTCTTATATGGATGTTGTATCGATGCATCTACGAAGAATTGCGCAAGAGAGGAGCGAGAAGGTGGGGAGCTGGAGGGGGTCGCTCGTAGGGAGTAAGGCTACGGAATCCGTTACACCTGACTCAGTCTATACAGAAGACGTATGGGCTGTCTATTTCCTTCCTCGAAGCTGTTGCAAGTATGAGCATTTGCGATTGCTACACTTTAAATATCGGTCAGGCGCAAATCAAGATGCCACGCATTCGCAACAATTCTGTACACATTATACGAAAACAGTATCGTGACTGTAGCTGCCATTCGCAAAGAAAAGCGGGGTCAAGAGACTATAACTCGCCCAGAAACCCTCCACGAGCATTCCAGACGTTCGGCTGAATATATCGTGCAAACAGAACTCCCGTTTACGTATAGCATGAACCCTACAGCCCCCCAAATTCTCAAATCAATGTGCCCCTTTCCCACCACTCCAACAAGCAAACCCTTGCGGAATCCTTCTGAGAAGAAAATAATGTAATCCCAGCCCCTGCGTTCCTCATCTGCCACAGACAATCGTTGACAGTCACCGTGCTATATTTCCACAAGAGGCTCTGGATCAGGCCAAGCCTGTCCATAAGAGACGTGGAAAGCACAATAGAATCGGACCAGTCACAGCCGTTCTACGCACCCTCCGACCCTTTTTGTGGACTTCAATCCACCCACGGACCGCAAACACTCAACGAGATGCATGCGTGAGAGTATTCAGAAACGGAATTGGCGAACTAAAGAACTTCAGATCCGGAGCAGCTCCATCAAATAGTAAAGAGCTTTCATTCAGTCAAAAGCCCAAACATTAATCAAGGTCAATCACGGCCAATCAAGTTCATGAACATCTCCCAGCGAATGATTTCTACCGTATCTACCAGCACAACTATCTCACTCCTTAAGCATCTTCTCGCATCTCAGGAACAGGCTCTTGCCAGGTGTCTCCCAATGATCCGGACAGGCTTCAAGCACTGGTTGGAGCGCGCCGCACCTCTCATAATGATTTTCCAAGCCCGAAACTTTCGACGTCAGGGCGAGCCCACGGTGCACCATGTATGCAAGGACAGGATAAAAAGCACAATCTGCCAGTTCAAAAGCATGTCGAGCTGAAAGGAACCCTCCATTGGTCAAATATCTTTCCCAATGTTCAAGTTCTTTGAAAATTATCATGGTAGGCTTGGAGAATGTTTTCACGATGCTTTTCCCATTCTGCATCGTATAGCAGTTCTGTAGGCTCGCGTATGCTGTGAGGGTTTTCAGACTCATGAAACCTCACAGTCTCTTGTGTCCATTCCGATTTGGAGAGATCGCTTGGGCGATTCTCCGGAATGCCTGGGAAGAACCGCTCGAGATACTGAAGGATGGCCATACTTTCTATGACAATCGTGCCATCACTGTCTACAAATGTTAGGGTCTTGCATCTCGGATTGATCAGTGCGAACTCGGGGCTTCGAGTTTCCTTGGGTTCAGTCATGACTCTGAGGCGCTTGCTGAGATATGGAATCTTCATCCATGCGAGTGCGATCATGACTCTCCAACTTGGAATGGATCCTTTGACCCAGTATAGCACAGGAAGTGTCTGGAGCTGCTTGTCGTCGCCAACATAAGAAGAAACGCCATCGGAAGTGCACCAGTCGACGTCATATGGTTTCTCAGCGAGAGTGAGTATTGCTCGATCATGTGCCTGTTGTTTGAATGCCTTGACGCCGTCCTCGGCAATTGTGACCTCGTAACCCAATTTGCGTGCATCGACGGCAGTGGCAGCGATGCATGTGTTTGTTGTGACTCCCGCGAGGAAGATATGTTTTGTGTTTATTTGTTGGAGAGTGTCGTGGAGTGCTGTCTTCGCGAACGCGGAGTAGTGGATCTTTGTTATGCGTGTGTGATGTGCATGGAGAAAGGGAAGAAGGTCTTTGTGGATTGGATGCCTGGAGTGTTGTGGACACAGAAACGGCCGGAACGGTGAGTTCCGGAAAGGTAGAGCTCGAAATCGGATTGGGGTAGATCGTTAGAAGACAGGTCTTCTTCGTATGTTCCTTTGCCTTGTTCGTACGCGCTGTCGATCCAGACGATGGGTCTTCTTCTCGTTGTGATTGTCGTAGCAGGGGTGGAAGAGAGTCTATGAATGGTTTTGCAGGGATTCGTGTTGGACTGAGGAAATCTTGTTGGAGGTCGATGAGGAGGAGGGAAGACCTCGTTATGAAGGAAGGATCACGTGAAAGAGACGCCTAGGAAGATGGCCATGGACGAACAGTATCGAGAGCTGTATTTGTTCAGCACCGACAGAGATCAATTCCCAAATCCACCAGCCTCTCTCATCCAGTAAGGAAGGTCGCAACGTATTCAATCAGAGCTTACGGTCAACCGAATACATCGAAGGATTTATGATGTATAGCATACGTATACTCTAGTATAAGCCTGGCATCTTCATGAATCATATTCTGGAGGATCACGTGATGTTTTCTTATCAGAGGCTTGGCATTACCGCAGGCCGCAAAAGTAAGTATGTACTTTAAGAGTGAATGGCTGAGCTTTTTCGCTAGAACTCAAGGCTTTGATTCTAAGAATAAAATGTATATTATTCGTTTTTCAAAACTATCTTATAAGTATTTGCCGCACCCTTCGGCTTCGGGCGCCCTTAATGTACTCCAAATCGTCTGAATGTTCCGTAAGACGACGCCTTGCCCTACTATGCCGAAATCGGTGATTCACGTAGACTGCACAGGGCCGAGCCTAGAACTCAATCAGATACTCATGCGTACTGATGTCCGATATGAAATACCGACGCGGCTTTGGAGTCAGTGTGGTTTTAAATAAGGGAAGTGGGCTGGGGAGTTCAAGGAGTTTGTCTTTGGCACGCTCGCGTGGTGAGTGTAAGGAGTAGCGGAGGGAGCAACGGGAGTATACCTCAGACAGCAAGACATCGTCGAAATAAGGTTCCCAGCCTCCTCCCAGCCACCTGTTGGAACAACCACCTAATTTGTGAGGGGTACAAATACTGGCCCAGGGGAGTCCTGAGATAGAGAATTCATGCAACCTACACACCACTCTTCCTACCATACATGAATTCTGACAGACCTCTCATAGACAGACTCCTATTCCTCTGCTCTGTTGCTGACAGGTTCGCATTTTGGTTCCTCTCTCACTTGTTCTCCGAACAATTATCCTGTGTATGTAGCCTTTTACACATGTACCTCCCCATTCGAGCTGCGACTCGGGATATTTTTAAGCACCAAAAACTCGCGGCAGAAAGTCCTGTTGGATGATGTTGCCGACTCAGAGCGATGTATTCGAGCGTGTGGCTTTGCGATCCGAGTAGTTGGTCGGTATCGCTACCGATAATACTAGGGTTCAAGAGTGTGGTGCCGTTGGTGGATTAGGTGGTAAGGTAGCGAAGGGAGGGGCGGATGTAAGTAGGAATAGGAACAGGGAGAGGAGGACGAGGGTGTGGGCTCTGTAGGAGGCAAGGTTTGTTCTGCGGAGAGGGTTGAGTGCTATAGATGCTGTTTCAAACGTTTTGGGAAGAAATTAAGCGATCTTTCGCTTGCGATTTTGCTAGGAGTCTGAGAAATAAGAAATCAATTGGGTGTTTAGTCGTTCTCATCATACTTGCCACGCAATTTTGAAAGCATTACTCGTTCTCTGTGAATGGCTAAAAGTAGAAGAACACTCCTGAAATCGTCGAATCGTCAGCTTGAATAGACATCGAGAGCAAAATGCTAGCTAGTCTTTGATGAAGATGACGGCTGGTTTAAAGCAGGAACAAAGAACCACTCTGAACATGTTTCGCAAAGTCTCCCCCAATGGTCTCTGACAGCTGTTGTCGACGGAATCTGCACGACTTAAGCGAGAACTTGCACTCGGAAGCTTTGTTTCAAGGCAAGAAGAGGTGAGTGCTACTGCGGCACATCGATGGATGATCGGTCTGTGCGGACGGGAAGGCCGGTGGTGGTCAAGACTCTGCGGAAGGAGCTGGAAGAGAATGGCTAGAGCAGGTGACACAGATGCATTCTATGCCAATACGTTAGCAAAATTAGCAAAATATAATATAAGGTTTGTCAGAAATATCGAATTACCTTATGTCGACGTCCCAATTTCTCTCTAGTATCTTCACAGCCAATAGCGCCTGCGGATTATTCATTTGCCGGCCAATGTACTGCAGCCGATTGATTATCCACGCACGACGAGAACTATGGCAGACGGGGCAAGTGGCAACGGACATCAAGGGCCAAATGACTCCATAGCTGCGGGCTGCATGCGTAAAGCCGGACGTAGAACTCTCTGTCTTTGGTAAGGGAATATCGGAGATGGTGGAATGTGGAGGCTGCGTTTTGGACACAGATATAGGAACTCTGGCTGGGAGTTCGACATATTGCGGGATGGTGGCGCAGATCTCGGAAGCAAGTTGTGTTATAATTGATTCGGCGTGTCGCATCAGCGTGGTGTAATCTTGAGATCGCAGGGGAGACGTGTGCTGCCGAAGGATTTGTTCCCTGATCGTCAGTTTGAGTTGCATTCGAAGCATGCGCCAAGCGTTCATGCTCCGAGCAATGCCATGGGTAGAATACAAATGGTAATACCCTTCATAGACCAACGTCCCATCGGCGTGTTCTGCCAAAACAGTCTTGAATTGCCATGACGGTGGCAGTGTACTCGACCACAGCACAAAGTCGTGGTCCAACTGCATTGCGGCCGCAATTATCACGTCCGGGTCGGACAGACTGCCTGACCTGATCGCAGCACGAAGATCCGCAGCGCGGAATGAGATAAGTTTAAGACTCCATGATGGATCGTTCTCACTTGCGTACTGAAGAGCGTGGGTGACGAGAGAGGTAATCTCTGTGGGGACTGCGGCCATGTTGCGATGGGCGCTGATGGCGACGCTAAAGGTGGTCTGACTGAGTAGTTGAAGACCAAGCTGGGTATTCATTTGCTGACGGCCACGGAGCCGGATAAGTGCCATGGCGCCCTTGATATGGCTCTCCCATAAGCACAAAGTGAGCTGCGTTGTGCAGGTGATTGCTTCGTATAGACTGAGAAGCAAGACTGAGAGTAATGTACTATCCTCCGTTGCCCTGACCGGAGATCGCAGAGCCGTGTTCGTCGCCTGGATGGCATGGATATAGCGCTTTCTGCCTTGCTTCGAGGCCTGCAATGATCTGAGCTCATTTGAGAGACTGGCTAGTCCTACAGCTTCGATACTGGCCGAAAGATGTTCCTCTCTAACTGAGTACGGAGCGTAAAGTGAAGGCAGGTATTCGAAGTTGCTACCTTGAATAAAATTTGAGAGAAAGAAGCTTGTTGCTCGGGCTTCAATCGGCAGCGAGAGGCTGCGGGGAAGTTCTTTGGTCATTGCTTGATCAGACTGCCTTTGCTCGGTCCGAGCGTCCTCTGCGAGTCGAGCTTTGAACACCACTTCGGCCGTCTGATCAAGGAATCTGTCATTCGACTGGGGCCGATAGCCGGGACATTTCCGCCCGGCCCGCAAGCATTGGGTACATCTGGGCTTGACCAAGTCGCACTATGGCCTGTTTTAGTAACCATTTTGGAGTCCCGATGTCGTCCATATGCATTGACAAGAGTTCAAAGTGGTGTGTTTTACCTTCAGCCGACGTTCCCTGCATCTATGACACGCTTTCGACGGCTTTCCGCGGAATACCATGTCGGAAAGAGGAGTTTTGATCACTCGTGCACCATGCCAACAATTCCCTCAACAGGAAGGGGCCAAGTTATCCGATCTGGAGACGGCTTATGATTGCGCCACTAATCAAAACCATTAAATTCAGGCCCTTCTTCCGTCCATTTTGAGCCCGAAATAGCTATATGTCAAGGTCTGGTTGGGGAGCTAGTAATGGACAATTTAACGTCGGAATACTTGAGCTGTTGAACCGTGGAGGGGGAAGCAAGAGGCAAGGCTTTCAGATTTATGTTACAAAAAAAAGCGTTTTCCAGATGTACAGGAATTTGAGATAGTGATGTTCACTATCGGTGTAGATTCCGAGACCTTCTACCTATATCTTATTGATAAGCAGAGAACCACATAAAAATGTTGAGATTAGCATGATGGAGAAAAGCATGCGAAGAGGATGGGAAAGCAACGCTGTTGGCGGATGACAAGAGGGATAACCTCGGAAGCTGCGATGCGAAGTTGCTGCTGCTGCACGAGATTGGCCAGCTAATCCTAAAGTCGTCTACTCAAGCCAGTTTTTAATGTTTGGCCACCTTACTACTTTGAGAATACCTCGGCTACCGACTAGCTCAAATAAATAAATAATCAAAATAAACAAATAATTACTCTACGCTCTATATATTATTAATTGAGCTAATTCTTTTATATATATCTTATAAATAGTATAACTATAAGGAGCGTAAACCTCGAAAGTTATTATTAAATAGATAATAATATTAAATAGATATTAGAATTAGTAATATCGCCCTAATTAAAGCCGATTACTCGCAATGAGAAATAGTAGAAAATTATACTCATATATATAAATCTATTGTTAACTATTATTGGAGAAAAATTAAATAAAGATTAGAAGAATAGAATATCGATATTTATTATAAGGTCTATTATATAGATACTTTATGTATTAATTATCTAAGTTATTCTTTCGAAGTTAAATAGAAGAGAATCTTTAAGTATATTATTAGTACGTTAGAAAATCGAAAAAAAACGGTTTTATAGTATATAAAAGAGATAAAGCTTCTTAATATTAAGCGCGATATAAATAATAATTAAAAACCTCTCTCTAAATCTTATTTTAAATAAGTAATATATGACTTCGACTATAATAGAGGATCTCGTTATTAGAAACCTAAATTAATTAATTAATATCGAGAGTTTCGAATAGCTTTTATTAGAGCTTATTTATATTAAAATTGAGTAAATAATATCGTATTTATAGACGAAGCTAAAGTTAAGCGTATCGAGTATGATTATCGAGTTATTTAATGTACTTCGAGAGAGTAAATAAGCTCGGAATTAATAGAATGGACTAATTAGAAGGATAATAAAGCTATATATATAATTTTTGATAAGATCGCTTATAGTAAAAGCATAGTTAATAAGAAAGGAAAGCGATTATAAGATAAAATTAACGATAAAGAGAAACTAATTTTTCTATAAGATGAGACTTAGAATAAAAAGAACGTAGTTAAAGAGGCTCTTATTATTAAGAATTATGAAAACTAAGGACTTTAAGCACTTATATTTATCTCTCAAATACGTACTAACGAGAATAAAGAGAATAAATCTAGATAAAAGAAGCCTAGCCCGAAGCCTCAGTTCGAGACATATCTGAAATAAGCTGTTAAGAAATGAGGTAATCGTGAGAAAGAGAGTAGAGTGAATATCTATTAATATAGAGAGGAAGTTTTAAAAGAGAACGAAGGCTTATTAGAATTCTATCGAAACTTACTTAATTAAGATTATTCTATATATATAATATAGAATAAAGCAGATAATTATATAGTAGAATTCTCTTATAAGGAATTTAGTAAGTAGCGAGTTGTATAATTCGAGGATTAGTCTCTCTATAGTCTAGATCTAAATTCTATTAAAAAGGCCTAGGATTAATATTGTAAATATCTTTAGAATCGAAATTTTTATATTAATAGTAATGAGGAATTGAAGGCTGATTAAAATGAGGCTTAAGAGGCCCTACTATAAGAGAAAATTGATTAATAATTTAAGGTAATATTAGAGATCCTTTAGAAGATACTTAATCATAAGAGACGTAACGACTTTTAAGACTAGATTTTAGGCCTTATAAATGTTAATAGTGCCTTTTATATATATATTACCTTCTTATTATCACTAAAACACTCTAATAATAGTGATAATACTTTCCCGCAGCGATTTTTCTTCGAATTCTTCTCTATTAAGGCTTCGAATTATATTAAGATCTTCGATATATATTTAGTTTAAGAAAAGATCCTAGGCTTTAAGAGTATATCTATCACTCTATTTTATAGTATTAAACTATCTATATTAAATTATAACGTTATTATTGAGTTAAAAATGGCGGTGCGCGAGAGGGAAGTTATTTAGAGCGTCTAGAAGTGTATTTAGTTCTAAATAGCTTTATAATTTCCGAATTAAGATACTTATAGATAAAATGGATAGTGATGATATTCTCGGTCATAACTTGTAGAATATAGAGTGAGGATTGTATATAGAACAGATGTGTGTGGGGCTTGAAAGTGTGCCGAGGCGTTCCTAAAGTAGTAAGGTAGCCAAACATTAAAAACCGGCTTGAGTAGCGTCGATATGCATTCCCAACTTAGATTAGACCGTCTTGGCTAATAAAGCCTCAGGATTAGAACAGTGACTTATCTTTCAAAGGCGAGGTACAACACGATGCCGGCAGCGTGAATACCATCGCAGCACCTAAGCACAGAATTCGGACTGTACTCAGCACAACATTAAGCAACGTCTCTACGCTAGATAGATCAAGTTTTCAACTCTAGATGCTAGATACTTGAACCTGCTTTGAACCCTATTTCGTGTCTGCTCACCGCCCAACAGCTGCATACTTCTCTATGGCATCAGAGGAAAGGACCGGTTCAATACAACAGTACCGTGCCATCCCACAGGACTCTCGTAGGTGCCATTAGGACTGGACAGCGTAACGTTCGCCTTCAGGACACACTCATTTGTTCCCGGATTCAGATTGGCGAGCCCCTCCATTCATCCATACAGCCCCATTGCAGCCTTGGTAATAATTATAATCCCAGCGTCTTGACTGCGAGGTGAGGTAGGTGAACTGCGCGCAACCATCAACGCACTCTCGCAGCAGAGATGTCACGTTGCCAATATCTTGCAAATCGACTATTGCACCAGCGCCTGGCCAATTGGTGTCGTACAGTATCTCGAATGTTAAAGTATATTTTGCAAGGCCGGTCTGTGTGGGTCGTGGCAGGGTCGGTGTGTTTGCCACGGTGTATATCGTGCCGTTTGCGGGTGGACAGGCTGCGATTGTAGTTGTTGGAGTGGGATTGGAGCTGGTGCTGCGTTCTGGTACAGGAGTATTTGTTGCCTTTGTCGAGCTGGTTGCGCTGTGATACATCAGGTCTCATCAAAGAGCGCTGTCGAGCGACTAGATTACTCACACTGAAGGATACTTCCGGTGAGCCGCTAGACCTCCACCTATCCCTCCACCTATAGTTCCGGCGCGACACTCATCGGCTATACTCTCAAGCATCCACGCAACCGGTGCACAACCGCAGATTCGCCGCTTATTAGATGGAATTGACCGAATTAATGAGGCCTTGCTAGCGGACTTCGTCTCGCGCGTGATTCATAGCATTTCTTTTCCCGCTAAATGTCATTAGGGGTAAAGGTCTCGAGGCTAGAAAGTGCTGCGACTTCTAGATCTGATAAAGGCCTGGCGTTCTCACTTCCAGACACGTTTATAGTCTGACAAGAATTTTGGGCGGTGATTTGTCGATTTTGTCGCATTTGACGAATCTCCAAATATGCCAGACATGCTGGGTGGTTTATATACATCCATTGCTGTAGCCGGACAGGCTGAGGCGGTGCGAATATTTGTCTTCCATCCTTCGATCCTTTGTGGCGAGGTGCATAGCTGTGTCTCGCTGTACAATGTACAACATGGCGGGGTCTCTTCAGGGTCCCCTTCAACGAAGGGTTGCCAACAGTCTAGGCAGTGACTACTATGAACCCACTTGGACGCTTCACTCTTTTCGTGAATGCTCGATATATATTTCGTGGACAGTTGAATGAGTCTTGCGACTATCACCTCATGGGGCGGTAAATGGGCTTAGTCATTTGTCCTTCAGCCTCATGTTATCCCAGCTTCATTATTGGCTGGTCGCCCTGCATTACTCTCGACCGATTGAGTTAGTAGCATCGTAAGGCCGCGCGGAGAGGCTGTGTCGCTCAAGAGACATCTCACAGATATCTGGATAGTGAGTTTTGAAAACGAAAGGCTCTCGCCGTCGTTGCCGCTATGGATCCAGTCTCAATTACAGGTCTTGCGGGCTCAATAGTTGGTATTGTCGATGTCGCTGTCAGAAGCATCAGCGCATTGCGCGCTTTGCAGCAGCGACGGAAAACGGCAGACCTGACAATCAGCCTTCTGATAGGCCAATTAACAGCGCTCAGAGCGGCATTGAATCAGATCGAAGAGTGGATTTCAACCAGCCTGAGCGCATTCCAGCATTACCAATTGGTCATGGACCTAGAAGCCTCCCTAGAGAGCTGCGAGGCCTTGCTCCTATTCATAAACGGGCAATTGACTGGTCTCGACTGGAATGACAGCAACGCTCTATCCTTCGAGAATAGAATCAAGGCCGTGCTGCAAGAAAAGACTGTCAAAGAATGCGCCACTCATCTGGCAAATCAGTCAACGGCTCTTAACTTGTTCCTCACAGCCCTGAACTGGTAAGCTAGCCAAAGAGTAGTTCCCTCTGTCTGACCAGAACTAACAATGCGTCTGTAGTCGATCTTTCTCTGAGCAACACGACCTCCTACTAGCAAAGCACAGCAGAAGGGTACTTGACCAGGCCAAGTTGACTCATCCTCGTTGTTCTGCTTGAGGGACTCGGCATCTTTCCGTAGTTCATTGACAGCAGCAACGGAACGGTCTAATCTGCTCGACATCTCCTTTGACTTCGATGAAGAAGTGACGGCAACTAAGGTTTACCATCGACAGTGGGGTCCGCTCATGAGAGGGGCCCTTCGTAGGCGCAGGAAAGTCAAGGACCGTTCAGTAGAGTCGCAAAAGGTATGTCCCAACGTGCTAGCGTTCATCGTGAGCTCAAACATATAGATTGATTCCTTGGCCATTGATGTCAGAATCGTGGCCCTAAGACAAGGTAGCCGAATTTCTAAGCTACCGAAGGTAATGAGCATACTGTGTGAGGGGTGCTATGACCCTGAACTGCGTAGAGGTCACATATACCAGATCATCTTGGATACTATCAGTGCCACCTTGGACAAGATGGCGGAGCTATCTTTGCCTTTGGGGCATCTAGAGACCGAGACTCACCCTCAGATAACTCTGTGTCAGCGAGGTCCAATAAATGGTGCCGGAATGTCAGAAGAGCTAAGGAAAACGCTTGTCTCCTTGTGGGATGATCCGGGGATGAAAGGATGCTACCAGGACAATGTAGAAGGCACAGCGCATCCTTCAGCTACCTAGTATGTACACCAGCCCAGAGGTCGGCTTTATATCTGCCACACACTGACTAGATTCGTAATTTCCACAGCTATCTAGACTCAATTGCTCGGATACTTGGCGCGGACTTCGTACCAAGCTTCGAAGATGCCGCCAAGTCTCTGGTAAGCAGGAGCCGGCGCTCCGACGTCCTGACATTACCAGTGAGTATGAGTTCACGACGTTACAACTTCGTTACGTGGAATCTACCCAAAGCCTCATGCCGAATTCCACCCGATACTTCATTGAGGAGTTGGCGGCAAGAGTTTGACGGTCTGGACGCTATCATATTCATGGCGGACATGGCGATCTACAAAAATCGTTCCGCTGATGGCGCAATTGTGGATGAAATGGATCATACTCTGCAGGATTTTCGCCGTGTTTGCAAATTTGGGTGGCTAGCCGAGAGGGATATCATCCTGTTCTTTTTGAATGTTGGTGAGTACTCCACAAAGTCGTCCAAAGCTCACGGTCCGAGGCACAAATACGGAGACCACGGGAGAAGCACTGCGGACGACATCGTCAAGCGGTTCGTTTCCCTAAACGAGGATGAGTCCCGAGAGATACACGTAATCTTCGCCCATAATGACGAGAGGGCCAAGAATCTCGAATGTCTTGATGGGGCAGTGGGGCGGATTTTGAGCAAGAAGGCGATTGCAGCTCGAAACTCATGAAGTATCCAAAGTATAGGGGTATGAATCGGGTTTTCCGGATAGAATGAACTTTCCTTGTCAAGACATAGACCAGTTTTTCAAGGACTCCCGAAAAGAACGCAATCAAGCAGTGGTTTGGACATATACTGGCATTGTTGCAGCAACAGTGACGGATGATATGTCTCAACCCAGATCTCTTTGTGCTTTTCCGGGTCGAGGAGGAAACACAGTCACTGTGAGAACTCGAACACATCTAGAGAGGCCCATTTAAACGCGTGGATTGGAAGTCATGGTTGGAGGGAGATATGGCGGGCAAAAGCGGGCAAGTTGTCAGAGAGTTTGTAGAATGAGGCGCTGGATGTCGTTTTTCTACGCCGGTTCCTGGCTTCACCCCTAATAGTATTCGATATGGATGAGATTCACCACAGCTTTGCATAGAACAGCGAGAAACTCCTTCCGTCAACGTGTTCAAGATTTATGGCTCGCTATTTTACCTGCAAGACGAACGTTGGCTATCAGAAACCAGCAGGAAGTCTACAATCATGCAACACGCTCATGCTAGCTACAATGTGTCTCGACACAAAGGCTTTAGTCGGTCATGGCAGCTGTCACTAGTGTATTGCTAACCCAAAGCTGTAGTGGCGCCTTTTTGAACTACAACATTAAAGTCGCTACGTACCCGACCGCAGTTGCTCTGAGATAGCACACTGTCGAGGAGACCCATTTAGATGTCCCTCTAACCTTGACGCATACTCAATCCAGGCCGACCTTAGCACTTCGCATCCTCATTCGTCTCACAGCCAGAATCGCTGTCTAACTCAGAATCAGGACCTGTTATGACCACGTCTTCTGAACGAAATTTCTATCAAGGACTAGACCATAGAAAGAAACTGAGCTGAGGACCAAAGCTTTCGTGTTTGGAGTGAATACCGGAATAACGTTTGCCCAAAATTGACGATATACTTCTTTTTTTGACGCAGCGCAAAATACAGCGGCTTCAAATGTACTGATGCCTAAACACATAGTCACTATTAACACGCAAGGTTGCTGCATCACCCTTACGTACAACACCCTACTTTGACACCTGCTATCAATTTTGATATGAAAAAACTCCTACGAAGAACAACTCCACCTTTCTTAACGTAACACCATCACCATGACTTCGCCGAAAGACTTCAGCTACAACCTCTTCTCATATCGCGTGCGACCTCACAGACGCACAGCGCTACTTCAATAAGAAACCCAGGCATAAATCTGCCTCGAGGCAACGGGAGGACGATGTCCCTAATGCAACAAATGATGGGATTGGCCAACGTCTTCAACCGGCTTGAGATGGACCAGATTCAGTAAGCAACTCCATACGCAACGAGATAGAGGCAAATATGGCAGCACGAGATGCTATGTTGGCAGATGCTACCGCTGCAAAGTCCAAGGAAAAGCCAAAGCCTACAACTCCTGCTTCACGCCAACGTACGCAACCACAGCAACGAGCTCGGTTTCAGCAGCCTGATGGTGACGGACTTCCCGAGCCTCGAACACCGGAGTAATACAGGTGAGACTTGCCATCCATTCTTTGAAGTTCATGAGTACTGATGGGTCTGCAGCCGCATTGCCAACGTTTACGCGAAGCCTCCTAGCCAAGTAGCTTGAGGAGAATGGATGAAGGATCTAGTCAATCAAAATAAGAAATGGATGGGTGTTAACAAGACTAGTGCTGACTTCAAGGTCCTGGATTATGGTGCTGGCACCGGTTTTCTTAGTATGGTAAGTCATCCGGTCAGGTCAGCGAGGTAGGCAGTCACTGATTGCACGTGTACTTACAGGCTTTTGCTCCTCACGTTAGCAAAGTCCATGCTATCGACAGCGCTCGCGGTATGGTGGATGAATTCAACAAGTTCGCGGCAAAGACAGCTACGAAGAGAGCATACCCCAATTGCAAAATGAAGGCCGTGTGGGGTGGCCTCATTGATCACGAGAAGCCACAGGATCCCAAGATTGCGAACGCTCAGCCGTCATGGGACTAAGACGTTGAGTTTGGGACATTCGATATGGTAGTCTTGTGTGTGAGTGGCTCCGTCTCTCAAGAGTTCAAACTTGTTGAAAGCTAGACTGATTTCCTGTATCAAAGCTCGTAGTCGATTTATTTTATTCACAAGGATCCTCCCGACCCGAGCAAGATGCGCGACTCAAGCGCGGTTTGCAAGCCCTGATCAACCGCCTCAAACACAATGGCATGCTCATCATTATCGACATCGAGAAGAATTACGATGAATCAGAAGCTTACAAGCCCGAAAGGATGGCGCGCACTACAACAAAACTAAAATCGAAGGCAGAAAGCCTGACGGTTCTGGAAGCAAGGAGATCGTCGCAGCATTGAAGGAATTGGGTATGGAAGATGTCGGGGTGATGAAAGATCAGCATTTTCAGTGTCATGCGAAGGATGAGACAGGAAAAAACTATCAGAACGCTCGGGCGGAATTTATATGTATGTAGTTAGCAATAGCCATTGCTCATCATTGCTATTTTCACCAAGTGAACTTTGATTAGCGGGCGTATCAGCGAATGAAACACGCTTTGGTGTTAAATGAGGATATGAGGAACTGCGGTGGTGTAAGGGGGATGAAGGAGGCGTAATAATGGGCCTACTAGACGGCGTTGTTCGTTGAAAGATATTGCGACTCCACGAAAAATGCGATACTGGCTTATTTGGTGGGTTTGTATAGTTTCAATTTCGACTAACCGGTGACTTGGTGGAGTTTGTCAATGGTGGAATCAATTGCTGTTGCTGACTACACACAAATTTAGGTGGGGAGGGCAACAAGCGAAGATGCCAAGCTTTGGGATGCGTTTTGCACACCGTAAATGCTGACTAATTGGAAAGCTTGCTTTCTCATTACTCAAGACTGAAATCACAAAATGTTCGACAACCATAAATTTAAAGTTGACCAATCAGATCTTCAGATTCCGTGATTTTGAAGCTAAAACTCATCTTATTTCTTCATTTCTAAGCTAAAAGCGGGTGCACACGGGTACGTCCAAAAGAGGAAGCACCATAAGGCTGAACCTCGAATATCAACTTTATTAATTTATTCTATTTAATTCCTTTAACGTTACGTAATAAATGATAATAAAGTAAATTTATAGAGTTATAGAGTTAATTATACGCTTTCAAATAAAGTAGCGAAGACGAAATTTGATAAAGTATTCGTAAAGATATACTAAAAACGAAGATTTTTATTCAAATTATCGAGCTTGCGAGAAGAGCCCCTCCGGCAGGAGCCCTCGGAGAGCCCCCGGAGGGCAAGGGGGGTTTCAGGGGGTCTCCCCCTGAGTATATCAAATAAATTACAACGTCTCTCTCGATTCTCAGGGTTAGATCCTCTAAAATCCCTTAAACCCTTCGAAGCTCTTTAAGGGCTCTCCGAGAGCTTCTATCGAGGGACTGTCAAAGCAAGCTTGAAATCAATCAAATATCACTAAAATAATCAAATTTCGAGCTTGCTTTGACAGCCCCTCGACAGAAGCTCTCGGAGAGCCCTTAAAGAGCCCCCGAAGGGTCCGAGGGGTTTTAGGGGATCTCCCTGAGAATCAAAAATAGTTAAAAACCAGTACTTGGCAAGCTTTTCACTACTGGGAAGGACACGCCCCAGCACATATTTAAGGTTCCAAAATTTCTCTCCACTCTACACTTCATTCCTCTTTACTGTAAAAATACGGGGTCACTGATACTAACCCTTAGTAGGTACGTGGATCGCTGCAAGTAAAAGGTTGATTTCCCGGAATATAATATCGTGCATAATTGTGTTTCCCGCATCGGTTCTGGAAATCGGACCGCAAAAAGCTCTTGATCATGATTCTGATCGTTGCAGGAAGAGCATTAGTTGTGGAAATCAAAATGCCGAAGATAAAAACAACGCTCATGACTTCCGTTTAAGACTCTGACAGCTTAGGAAAGAGATTTAGTTCTAGGCTTTCGACGCCATAGCGGAATGTAGGAAACAAGGCTCCGATATATACGTATATCCATTGTTAGCACTGTTTCGGGATGTGGGACACTGGAAGGAAATACCAGCTTACGATGCACGGTTGAGCTGTTGTTTTTCTCCCCGTACATGCACTTGTGCAGATTCCTCGAGCATGAAAACGACGCGCCAGTTCGAAGGACAGCAAAAGCCATGGCCATTTGGCTCTTTAAGTATGATTGTATTGAGATCTCTTCTGACTCACTCTCTCCCCTTGCCTCACCCAGTACCAACACGGTACAGGCTCTCCTGTTCCCCACTAATATACGGACTCCTCAGAACGTCGAAATGCCCACAACTCTCATTTCCGTATTGAGTTCCGGCCCCCTTCGCAACTCTGCGGGCAGGTAAAATAGTAGCATGGTCTGTCGTGGAGAGATTGAGTGCAGCTTAGGCAGTGGATGGTCGTCCCTGATCTTCTTTTGACTGTAAATACCCTTTGGAACGATGATCCGCCGACGCGGAACTTTTGCGTGATATGGAGATGCAGTCCTGAAAGGTCTCACCGCTCAATGTATGTCAATACTTATCCACTTTTCTAACAGCGTGGGGACCATCGGAGGAAATGGGTTCCGATCGTTTGAGGGGCTCAGTCTGGCCTTGTTTCTTGGGCGCCTCGATCTCTGCTCCTTCCTTCGTGTCTGTCCACACCGCTTTGTAATACGAAGACCACATTTTTCGCGTGAATAAACGGAGGAAATGATCCTAGCAATCTTCCGGTACTTATGCGTTTTGACGTTCGGTGACTCCGATAGTCACCACTACAGACTCAGTGGACCTGAGACGCAAGAAAGCACAATTTTCGGAGGGGTCTGCGTTCTCAGCCACCGCTTCGTCGGCGTCGTGTCCCGGGCTCCAGCAGACACGAATAGCCATACCCAGACCAGCATGTTATCAGACCAAATACTCTCTCAGGAACGTTCATTCTTTCAAATCAGTACCCCCAAAATATAAGGCTTATACCTTCATCCTCAAAGACTCTAAGCACGCACAAAAGCAGCCAACAAAGTCTACCTCAGCAATGCATTCTTCGATTTTTCCTTCCTGCTGTTTCCGCGGCCCTGATAATCGCCACACCCGCTGCTATCATGTAGACCAGACAAGCTACGGAAGCGTGTGACTCACAACAGACATATCCTGGTGCTAACAGCTGCCCCGATGAATGCTGCCTAGTATGTGGATACTACTTCCTTCAGGTTACATCTGAGTCCGGAAACCACTGAGCTGACAAGGGGTGGTGCGCGATAAGGGGTCCTTAGCGGAGTCACACAATACGTTGTCATGGGCAGTTGCATTGGTGAGAACTACATCACAACTGTACTGTGGATTTGTCCAAATCCTACGTGACACCCGTTTATCAGAGGGTGGGCATCAAAGGCGAAAGGGGCCTGGGATGAGTGGTTGGCAAAATCATTTTACACCAACAAGGTCTCCGTGAACATTGTTGGATTTTATTTCAATGCGTCTCAAAAGTTCGACACCTAGAAGCTAACATGCACTTCTGAATCTGCGTACGATTCTGCTTGCACATCCAATACGACAGATATTCGAGGTTAAGGTCAGATAGAGTTTGGCACGGTGCAGCGTGTCTCGCTGATCTCGTATTTAATACGAAGTCGCAAAAGATCTTGGGGAATTCGCGAACTACAAGAGCGATGACCATCCTCGGCTCAAAGACACAATTTTCACACTACAACCTTTCGCGGATGGCCCTCTCTTTCCTCGCTAGGATATTTGCCCATCCCAACCCTCTCAGCCCCAGCGTTTTCGACATACTTCGCGAAATCCTGACATGTACTCTCATCCACGTCATTCTGTGCACTGCATACTGTCATCTTGCTTGCCTGCTTTGCGATATCATTAACCTCTGCTCCGTAAAAAAAACGCGTCGCGTTGAGAATCTCGCCGCAAACCTCGGTATTTCTCACACCATCTGTGGCGAACCGACCGTGCTTTTTGCGTACATTACTGCCTGGATTCTCAACGCCCTCTTATTACATCTACATGATCGTGACCGGTCGGGTTCCTACGGGTTTCTGGTAAAGTCCATTGCGTGGGTCTATGTGGAGACATTGTTCTTCTTCGGCATTGCGCTCGCTATGACGCTGCTGCTTCGACTTCTGGAAACTGTCACTGGCGCCGGACCAGACGACGATGCAAACAGGGACAAGTTCAGGATGATGAAGGGGCGGAATGGGTCTGATGAGGAAACGGGGGAAGCGATGGTAGATAAGAAGACGATTTTGTGACTTTCTAGCCGAGAATGTGGACATTCAAGATATACTCGTTGAGTATCTTCAGGGGTCGGAGACAGGTGTCCAGCAACACTAGCTGCAAGTTCGGCAATGGCTTTGACAATCTGATGATCTCTGTTGCTGCTAGTCAATAACCCACCGCAGGACAATTGCACAGAGCTACGACTTCTCGAAGAACCAGCTTGGCAAAGACAGCTGCCCTTCATCGAGCGTACCAGGATAGGTAATCCTAGGCTTGAGCTCGCTCTCGTTTATGTGCATCGCCGTCAGGCAAGCTGCCAGAAAATTGGGCAGTCTTGACACACTCTACACAAAGCCAGCTCAAAATTCGAGGAAGAGTTGATCTTAGTAGCTACAAGCCTCATCGTTTTTGAAAAATGTACATAGAATAGCTGCGACTTTTTCCGCAGCGCCTGCCATGAAGGATAATCCGCGACTGAGCTGCGGAAGGATCGCGAGCTGCATGAAGCTTACAGGCACACCAACCTATAAGGAAAGGTCTTAACGGTCCAACAAGGAGCAGCTTTGAAAGATAGAGGGATAGCGAGACGAGGCAAGTCTCGCAGGGATGGAGCTGGAGTCCTGCGAAGTTGGGGCGAAGTTGGGGCGAAGTTGGGGCGAAGTTGGGGCGTGGTAGCTAGAGGGATAGCGGCTGTAACCTAACGCCCTACTCAAGTCTGCTTCATTGTATCTTGACGCCTTTGATTTCCGGTCGATCCCTCAGTGTCTCCTCACTTTCATTCCAATGGCCAAACCTTTCTCCATAGCCACCGGTGTTGCCGGTCTCATCAGTCTGACCATCGAAATTACGAAGATGACTCATGCATATGTGCATGAAGTCAAATGATCCGATTAAGGCCAGAGAGCTTGATCGAACTCTCACCGCCCTTGCGACAATACTCCAGAATCTTCAAATCCTCTTAAAGAAGGAAGGCTCTGGACGAACAAAATTTTTAACACACTTCAGTGCTGTTCTTGAACTATGATGTCTGTAAAGCCACCTTGCAGGAGATCCGCTCAAATTCGAATCACCTTTCCACCACAGTGTGGCAAGCCTAATATGGTCGTTTAGAGAGAAGGAACACCAGAAAGCGGTCTCGGACATTCACCTGTGGATGCAAATTTTCCACTACGCACGAGACATTGAGGCTTGGTGAGCTCTGTCTTTCTGGTCGACATTCACCCCGTTTGTTTTGCAATAAACATTCTCAGGGGAATCCATGATTCCGCCTCTTACGCTTGCTCGATGAGTCTTTCTTATCCCATCTTCAGGATGCACTCGCCAATCCAAATGCATAATTTATGAGGTGGGGAATCCTCGAGACAAAGAATCTTGTGGGAATCTTAGACGTACTCTCTTTTCTACTAGTTGTTCAAATATCCCTTGCTGTTCTGCGACTAATTTTGGTAGTGGAATTCTCGCCAACACAGCCGACGAGGTATCTGCCACTCTGCGCCTTCAATTGCGGACTTTGGATGATGCGAAGAAGATCTCAAAATCCATGCCAATCCTGCTGGAAGGCACAGAGAAAACATTGAAGGCTGTACTGAAATCGCTTTCATCACTTTCACGAATGGAGACGGATGACGAAGATATAAAAGCCGGCATTCAAACTTTACTTGGTATGAAGAGCTTAATCTAATGTGTTCTTACTTCTGTCGTCAGCTGATTTGGATCCTCCAAAGACAATCAAGTTGCAGAAACCCACGGCAAAGAGAGAAATGAGTTGCTACAATGGATATCCAAACTCGACTTTTCATCAAAGCAGACAGACATACTTCGTCGTCGTTCACCTAATACCGGCACCTGGCTACTCGAAGACGAGAATCTTCAGCAGTGGTCAGGTGGAGAAGCGTCGTCTTGTCTAAGCACGCAAACGCGTATTCGAGCAAACCACAGAGACGGCGCGGGCAAGACAGTTCTCACGTGTGTTGACATCACATCTGCTCTCCCGTTGACCTGACAAAGGTCGTATAGCTCCGCGGTAATTCACTACTTGAAGAAAAATCTTGCCGCGGATGGTACTGCAATCGCATATTTTTCTTCGACTACAAAGACACATAAAGTTAAAACGTCTCGGCAATGTTGGCCAATTTACTTTGGCAGTTGTTAGAGCATCTCCAAAACATACCCCGAGAGATCCAGTCTCTTTACGAATCTAGCTTTCTTGGCCAAGATCGGAAAATTCTCACCACAGAGCAAATGATCGCAATGATCCAGCTCTTGTGCAAGAGCTTCCGCAGAACATTCTTGATTGTGGATGCGCTAGATGAGGGTTTTGGACTCGATGACCATTCCGACGAAGTCAGAGCCAGGATGGTCTCTTCGATACTCAGGATTTCCAAGAGCGCACATATCTTTGTTACCTCTCGCCCTAACGTAAATGTGGCCGCAGAGGTTCCGGGTTGCACAACCTTAAAGATCCAAGCCAAAGATTCGGACTTGCGTTCTTATCTCAAGGCCGGAAAGACTGACCATACAGCCTTGGGGAGAATAGTTGACCAGGATCCTGCGCTGGAGAAGCACCTCGAGGATACAGTTTGTCAAAAATTGAATGGAATGTAGGTTCTCCAATTGTATAAATGTTTATTATCAAAGCTCACAAGTTTAGGTTTCTACTCGCGCGCGTCCAGATTGATTTGTTAGTACACCAGACCAAGGCACGGAACATATACAAGGCTTTGGATTATTTGCCGGAGAAGCTGAACGAGACCTTCCACGACGTCCTTGAAAGGATCAGAAGTCAGCCGCCAGGATATTCCACACTAGCAGAACAGGTCATTTCTTGGATCTTCTATGCCAACAGGCCTCTGGGAATGCCAGAGCTGCGTGAGGCTCTAGCTGTTGAGCCTGGCGACATGGAGCTCGACCGTTCGGGTTTTTACGAGCCCAGTCTCTTGCTCCTCTTGCTAAACATATGCTGTGGTCTTGCGACAGCCGAGAAGGGAGACGGAGTAATTAGGCTTGTCCATTACACCTTTCAACAAGTTCTTCTCGCCTTTTGGAAAGAGCGGTGTCCAGATGCGGAGATTAAGACGTGGCCACCTGCCAAGATTGTACTCATGATGCATGATTGACCAGAGAAAGCCCTGGCAGAGTCGTTTGACATTTGCTGGAAGAGAAGACTGCAAGCGTCTCGCTTGCTGAAAAATCGACGAATGGTCAGGGCTACCCGATCGAGATATGTTGTTGGGCTGAGGCTGAGGCATTGGTACTGTGTATGTCGTGTGGAGTAATTATGGCCGAGTGAGAAGGACAGGCGGTTGACATTTGCATTACGGATATGTATTCGGGAAAGGAGGCTTGCTGTTAAGGTCAGGACAGGCAGTTTCATCACAGGGAGCTTCAAAAGACTCGTTTCCAGAGCATATTGATAGGTTCTCCCCTTCACGCTTCGCTCAGCGCCTTAGCATAAGCCAGAATAGCTAGATTCTTGCAGGTCATAATCATTATGTTTCGGAACTCCAACACATGTTGTTCGATTTCATTTGCTTGATAGTTCGCGATGACGCGAGTGGGTTGGCGATGAGATTGACAAGATTTTTGCAGAAAGAGTGACGCTTAGGATTACCTAGTAAAGTGAACCCGACTTGGTATTCACAGTCCTTAGGTCAGATATCACATTCTACTATTGAGACACGCTTCTCTACCTGCGGACTACTGTGACCACCGTTGCATCACACAAGGTGCCTCTGCATATTCCTCGTTTCACACAAAAATGCTTGAACTGTGGGGACAAAGCGCAGTTTTAGAGACCATAGCTTCAAAACTTTACTGTCAAACGTTTTGCACATAGGAGAAAAGCAAGCGATCTTCGATTGAATTTCTAGTTCCTTGGGACTGGTAGCTGCACACAGGCTCCTATCACCAGAACCCGAACAAAAATGGCGGTTGTGGAATCTTCCCATCTGTTCCTCAAACCACTGAGCCGGTAGTGCAAAGAAATAATGGCCGTCGCATCGCAGCGGGGAGATTGTAACCATTTAAACAGCTGAGGGTTAAGCTATGGCTACTTGCATCAAGCCAGGAAGCGGGAGAGCCACGGTAGGTAGCAGCGAGAGCGTTTGACTCTACCAAAGTGCGGAGCCGGGCAACTCTGACACGAAGCAGAAAGCTGTGTCGCCACCACTTGGCTATTGAAACCTCTCTGATAATTGGCAAATGTGAAACTAGTGATGTTTACAGGCTTTCACCACGCCCGATCATATACTTGCATATGGCGGAGCACGATTAATGTCTTTTTGATCCGGCTCTTGCCTCCCCTATGTAGTGAGAAAATTCTATATACATGACGACTTTGACGATCAAGATGCTCCGATTGTACTCATTGACACATGCTCGGAGGTACGAAGTCCTCGACTCTCGTGACACATGCCATCTAGCTACGCAGAGAAAAAGACTTTCGGTCAGTTGCGTAGCCATTCAGCAATCTTCGTATCTGACAGCCAATCGATCTTCTGCACGGGATCTTCTTTGGATGTGAAACCATCATCTTGTGACAAGTCAAGCTGGCCGCAAGCGGCCAGCAGCTCATCCGTCATGACCAGAATTTGACAAGGGCTCTCAGCTTTAGCACTTTTCTCTAGGAAATAGCGTTGGAAGAAGAACTCGGCTTCCAGGTCTCGAAGCGATGTCACGATTTCCTTACGGACTTTGTGCGAGCAGCCTGCTTTGGGTTACAATTTTTGTCGGATGATGGCAATCTCTTCTTGAAATTCGGGGACGGCTTCTGGTTCGAGGATTTCGGAACTCATCGCTACAAGTCGATCGAGCAGCGTCGAAGTAATCGGCCCACTGGGGTTCTCGATCCCAGCGTTGACCTCATCCCAGTATTTTTGACAACGTAGCAACTGCACCAATCTTCGAGTCTGAGGGTGCTCCTGCCCGAGATTATCTCGACTCAAATTCACTAGTGATGTTGTCAATGACTTTAATTTCTCGTTTGTAATCAACGGTAAGTGGTGCGATGTAAGGACTGAAGAACATTCGAGAGAAACAGATGACAGGGCAATTTCCGCCAGACGTAGGTATATCTCTTGGCTTCAAGAGCGTTGATCGAGCTCCAAGTAGCCTTTTGTGAGTACTCGAGCAGTATTCAAAGTCGGAAGATGCTGGGTGCTACACAACTGCTTCCTAGAGGAAAACACTTTTCCGCCAGCTCTGTTGCTTCTTCATACTGGCTTGCACTGTGATATAGGGCAACGAGCACGCCCATAGGGCCAATTGTGGAAGGATGCTATCTACCTGCCACTCGGATCCAGGCATCCACGACTGATTTATATATCCAGACTGCACGTGCGAATTTACTCAGTGTTTCAAAGCACTCAGCAATTCGTTGTGGGATCTCCAGGTCGAAAACCTCTATTCGCATCTACTCAGGCCGTAGTCTTTGCGTACGCTCATTAAATTCGCCATGTAGCAGGAGGATGATCCTCCAGGCCATGGATTGTGACGACACTACATGCCGCAGGTGTCGGTGATAGAGTCTATAAGCAGAAATAGTTTCAGCATCTTACTCAACGTTCAGTTTAGCCCCGTCTCCAGCATCGCCGCTGGGATGAATTATGTCAAGGCCCATTGTTCAATTTACCGGCTTTGGTACCTGGTCGAAAGGCTAGCGACCACCATGCATGGTTCCGGTATTTCTAAAGGGAGATACGGAAGCCTACCGGTTTTTGCTCCTCAGAACATGAAGAGAATCCACTACTGGGTTGACATCGGCTGAATTAGCTCCTGAGAAACGTTGTGCTTCCGAATAACCTATTACAACAGCAAATTCGGAAGGTCATGGTGCAGCGTGCAAGTACCAAACGCTTTGGCGCATGGGCAACGCAATGGAGCCAAAACAACACCGGCTTACACTCCACGCTATCTGCAGCCTCTGGATGACTGGAAAGCATTCAACAATTGGATGAGGAGATTCGAGGGGTGTCTGAAGGCAGTAACATGTAGATTAAACCCCCAGCTGCTCACCCAGACGCCAGAAAAATTTGATTGGCGAATTTAGAGTCTGACCAATGAGCTCCAGCCACTGAAATCGATGATACGAGTATGCGGAGGATGGCAATTCGCGACTGATACCGAAAGTAATCATCTGGTGTATGGATATGTGTGGAGAGCCAGAGCCAGGTAGAAACGACAATCCAGACCGCAGGAGTGTCACGTGACTTTGAACAAATACCCTGAAAGGCAAGACCCAAGCGCGATCCTTCTGAGAGGGAAATTTAGCCGAGCAATTGCCTCAATCGGCTTCTGACAAATCCATCTGCCGTTATGACGAATTGTTGATTAAAAAGCATCTGCAGCTTCTACAACAGTCTGTAATAGTCAGCACAATGGCGACAGTATATATTCCTCCTTCTTTCCATTGACTCTCTCTACTCTTCCCGTCGTCATCATCTTCCTCCTCCCTCTATAGCCAGAACCAGCCAACATCACAATCGCCCATCATGTCGCCCAGCCTTTTCGACCCCATCCACATCGGCTCCATCCCCCTCTCCCACCGCGTCGCCATGGCACCTCTAACCCGCTACCGCGCCAACGATGCCCACGTGCACACCTCTCTCGCTACAGAATACTATGGTCAGCGGGCCTCCGTCTCTGGAACCCTCCTCATCACTGAAGCCACCTTCATCTCTCCCCGCGCCTCTGGCTACGCGAACGTGCCTGGTATATACAACAAGGATCAGATTGCGGCGTGGAAGAATGTCACGGATGCGGTTCACAAGGAGGGCAGCTATATATTCTGTCAGCTGTGGGCATTGGGACGGACGGCGAAGCCGGAGATTGTGAGGAAGGAAGCCGGCGAGAAATGGTTCGCCAGCAGCAGCAGCGTCCCTATGGAGGCTGGGACCGAGGAACCGAGAGCCCTAGACGAGGAAGACATCCGGGGCTTAGTAGGAGACTACGTGCAAGCTGCGAAGAATGCGATTGAGGCTGGGTTCGATGGCGTGGAGATCCATGGCGCCAATGGATATTTGATCGATCAATTTATACAGGATGTGGTCAACAAGAGGACGGATGCGTGGGGTGGAAGTGTGGAAAAGAGATCTAGATTTGCCCTTGAGGTTGCCAAGGCGGTCGTTGAGGCTGTAGGGAGTGAGAAGGTGGGGATCCGGTTGAGCCCCTTCAGCACATTCCAGGGGATGAAGATGGCACATCCGGTACCACAGTTCAGCCATCTGGTTGAGGGACTCAAGGAGCTGAAGCTGGGCTATCTACACTTGGTGGAGTCGCGCATTTCAGGCAACGCAGATGTTGAGACCACAGAAAGAGTTGAGCCTTTGCTGAAGATTTGGGGCAAGACGAGTCCGGTGCTTCTGGCTGGTGGGTTCCAGCCGGACAGTGCGAAGCGCGCGGTTGAGAAAGAGTATACCGGACAGGACATCATGATTGTGTTTGGCAGACACTTCATCTCGAACCCGGACTTGCCATTTAGGATTGAGAAGGGCATAGAGCTGACGAAGTATGACCGTGACACGTTCTATAAGACCGAAAGCCCCGATGGATATGTCGACTATCCTTTCAGCAAGGAGTGGGAGGCGCAGAGCAAGCTGTAGGTGATGGCATGACAAATTGGGACTTTTCATATTACCTCCATAGACCATGGGCATAGATCAGACCATCTGTTTGGGTCGTTAAGTCATTTTTCTGATGCGCCTTTGCACGCGAAGAAGCTTTGAATGCTACGATCCGACCACTGTCTCAATCAGAGACTTTGTCTCTATGCATTGCCCCAGAATGAATGGCATTGATGGCGGTAACAGTGCCGACATAGGCCCGGAGTACTGATATGACAAAACCTAGCGTTCAAGACCGGCAGCATAAAGGGCGCATGTATCAAATCACTGAGCCCCTTCGACTGAGATCACCCGAGGGTCGGGAACAGGTAGGAGTTCTTCGCGGGCTGAGACCTAGCGGAACGAGAGTCGGAACAATAAGCATGTGTTGCACTTTACTGGTGGCTATCCTCTATCCATGGGTAGTACGGTCACGGTGGACAATACGGTTATGGATAGAGAACATGGTACCGTATGACCCATCTCAAAGACAAATCTTCATCAGTAGCATATACCTTCTCGTAGATTATAGATTCTGCCCTTGAATAGATCGGCTTGCTCAGGAGAATAGAAGATCAATTACCACTGCTATCTACTACCTTTATTATCCCCCTTGCTGCTGGTACCGCGTACTATCATCTATCAAATCATTGCTTTTGCTGATAGCTCTTTGTTCTACAAAACTACGTCACCATTACCTTATCTCGCGGTCTTCTGAATTATTTACGCCCCAGTCTCGTTTAGTTTATATAATTAATATATGCTGAGACGCGGGCTTCCCAATAATAAAAAGCTTATCGAGTACTAGTTTTTAACTATTTAATTCTTAGAAAGACCCTCTAAAACCCCTCGAACTCTTTAAGAGCTCTTTAAAGACTCTTCGAGAGCTTCTATCGAGAGGCTATCAAAGTAAATTTAAAATTTAATTATTTTAATAATATTTGATTAATTTCGAATTTACTTTAATAGCCCCTTAATAGAAACTCTCGAAAAGCCTTTAAAGAGCTTTAATAAGTTTAAAAGATTTTAAGAGATCTAATTCTAAAAATCGAGAGAGATATTATAATTTATTTGATATACTTAGAGAGAGATTCTCTAAAACCCCTCTAACCCTTCGAAGGCTCTTCGAGAACTCTTCGAGGGCTTCTACTAAAGAGACTCTTCTCGCAAGCTCAATAATTAGATGAATATATTATCAAATTTCGTCTACGCTATATTATTTAAAAGCGTATAAATAATTCTATAACTCTACGTACTTAGTTTATTATCAAATTTTTAATAAAAGAAAAGAAATTAAAAAAGGTGGATTTGAGGATTTTGAAGTTATTTTCCAGCTTCCTCTTTTGAATATACCCGTATATACCCGCGTTTAGATCGAAAATGAAGAAATAAGGTGTATTTTAGACTGAAAATAGTGAAATCCGATGATTTGATTGGTCACTAGCCTCTTAGCGTAGCACCCATTCTTATTTTCAAGTCTGAAGCATTGAGAAAGCAAGCTTTCCAATTAATGGGATGCTTGAACAGTCAGATGTATTGTTCTAAATCTTTTCGCCATTGATGGAAGCTTGACCATGACATGAATGATACAGCACTATAAGTAAGTATACTCTTCACGGATAAATCTTTAATTCATTGGTGATATGTCTTGTTCAAGGATTGAAATACTGCACCGTTGAGGTGCAACAGATGCATTTTCTTCTCTGCAATCGCAATCGAGCTACAACTGTACAGAGCGCACTCTTCCTCACACGTCGCAAAATTGAACCAAAACTTTCTGAACACGCCTCCAAGTGTCTGTCCAAAGGTGCGTCTGTTGCCACACGTTCTAATCCTTCCAGGCCATCAGGGTTTCTTTCTTAAGGCTCCCATCTTTGGCCCTCAAATACTGTACCTCAACGCCACCAGATGACAGCCTTCCTCCTGTTCCGTCGATCGTGCCTACGGTACCATAGCGGTCGTGACCATTCTCCTCGCCGCCCTTGAGACACTTCAAACATCTCACTCCGCTGGAAGAGACGCGTTCCACCAGTGAGCCTTCAGTTGATCCTTCAAGTCCAAATGGCGCCACAACCTTCATAACCTCTCCTCTGCGTTCACCCGGTTTCAGAGAGTCCAATGAAACATTTGCTAGGGTCATCGAGACACGGCTAGTGAGTTTGTCAGCAGGTGTCTCTTTTCGGGAGCGGCTCAGATAGCTACCTGTTGTTCTGATGCTGCTTTCTCGAGTAAAGTAAAAGGGTACCTCCAGCCTTAACCGTCAACTCTGCATTCTGGACTATGGAAAATCTGACCAGGGCAGAAGCATAAGTACTTCCTTTCACCTTCGTATTCGACGCTGCTCAAGCTTTCAATGTGAAGCCAAATCTTTTTAAATTGATTGAAATGCCCTCTTTCAATCGTGTACTCGTCTCCGTAGCCTTGCGCTTTAAGTTTCGCCAAGGAAATGCTCCCTGTGGCCTGTCGCATACACATTTCCTCCTCATCCAAGTCTTCCTCGAGGGCTTCTACGAACCACTTGACATATTCTTCGTCTAGTAGTTTGTGGTTCATCATAGATTGCTCGTGCCTTGCTTTCATGTCTTGGAGGGTGGATTTGCTTTCTTTGTGTAGAAACAAATTGTCTGGGATCGAGCCAGGGACTTGAATGGTGGCTCTGGTAAGGTTTGACAAAGTTGCGAAGAGGACAACTGATGATTGGCGAATTCGATAAGAGGCCGACGAGGTTCCGAATCACGTTCGATTGACGCATGGTTGCACCAAATTGACTTCGTCTTCAACGGCGAAATGACAATTGCTGTCAATCCTCAGAGAAGAGCTTCTTCATCGTCGAAGTTGAACCATGCTTCGAACGAGAGCCTCTGAAATCTGGCAAAGACGTGGGACTCCATATGGCCAATCATCCGTCGGAGGCATAGACCTGTACACCTCTTGCATCACGAGACCCCATTCCGCGTAGAAATTGTGTCGCCATACATTCGATCCCCCATGTATGATACCATGTACACTAGACGTGTCCGAGAAGCAGACGACATCGCAAGTTTCCATGCCACTGATCGTTTTTGTATACAAGAACGGCGCGGCCTCGAAATCTATGGCGCGACTTGTCCGTAGGATCGTAGGATACACGCGTCCTTGCCCCTGGGTATTCCATTCCCACTTGTGCTCACGCCCCTCGGCCTTCTTTTCCAGCTCTCTTTCGTCGTTGTCTCTGTAACCCTCGCTTACAATTTTCTCCCTACAGTTGTATGAGGAGTGTGATTTCAAGAAGCGGTGGGATTGAAGAGTTAGCGGTATACTTGTGAGCGGATCTCTGTAGACCGCGATCAGTATTTGAGTCGGGCCAATCGGTCAATAACGTTAACAGCTCACCAGGTTAAACACAAAAAAGTGGCACTCCGTACCAGCCGGGGTTTCGAGGGTGATGCCATACCTAGATGCTGGTCGAACATGGCGCCATCCTCCAGTCCCATTTCGCAGTGAGGATGGCAGGCTGCCAAAACACCTCAATTGGTGCAATGCCCCAGGCTTTACAATTGCAGGTGCCGATGGGACTACGCTTCAGTACACAGTCAAACAGACTGAACACAATCCCATACGCGACGCGAGGAGCTAAAGGCTTGGCATTCCCTATGCCCTCAAGTCCAACTGTACGTTGGTAAGGAATTAGGAACAGGCGGCAGACCCAATGCATGTCTCAGCGTCTGGGAACCACGACCTATGCCACGAGCCGTTCGACCTGCTAAAAACGTATACGAAAATTGTGCTAGCTGCGCCACCAGCGCTGACAGCTCGTCCGAGCATGTCCTTACGCAAAGCCTGCCGTGCTTACTTCTCCAAGCAACGTCAATCGTACAAGTTGACCCTCTGTTTCCTCGATACATGGCCTCGTTTGGTCCAATAATGTCACAACAAATGCAATGTCGCCTTCAATGACTGAAGACTGCCTGCCTCGAATGTGCTAGCTACAAATTGCTTTCTTGCATCCTCCGTCTTCGAACTCCGTCCCAATATCCAGCAGGCTATGCACGGGGCACCAAACAGGAAAGATAATGGTTGCCATTGGCAGAACGAGGAGGGTACCCGAACAAAGATGGTAACGTCCCAACAACATAACCCAGTGTGGGATCAAGCCGGCAGCCGCAGAATCAGACACGGCTCTTACCAACAGGTTGCGCTCTTCCTTGGGTCAGACGGATCGGTTGTGGATGCGGGCACGTGCTGATGGCAATGAATCGAGCGGGCATCTGGTATCTCACATCGCCAGAAGACATCCGTGGAGGATGCAGGGTGCTGGATGGGGGATCCTGTACGATCTCATGATACGAGTCCGCCGGAGTCGTTGCCGAAGCGGGGCAGAGTCTACGTACTGCGGCTAGACAGCGACACCACCTTGACGGTGTGGTGACATTGCTTCTCAACCAATAAGGAAGCCTGTGGGATGTCGAGAGAAGGCTCCCACAAATTGTGAGGCAAAGCACAGAGGCGCACAAAGTCACCATCACAAATCGTCTTTGAAGACCATCAGAGACCACGGCTTGGTCACACTGTAATTTGCGCCACCTGCCATCCCCCGCCCATAGGCGTCCTCGGAAAGCGTGGCGTGGTAGTCAGACTCTGGCGCCCGTTGAGAAGCGGAAGATCTTCCGAGGGAGCTTCGTGGTGAAAAGTCTCATCAATAGGTAAATTCTACGACATCTTGTCCACTTGGCCATTTCATCGACACACCGCCAGAATCCTGGTGAATCCATCGAGGTCAGGCCTCGAAACAATGATAGGATGGCTCTTTGGCTACTGGCTGCTCCTTAGTTGCATTTCTAGCTCCTCTGCTTGCTTACCATGCAGCGAAATCTAGGGGAGTAAAGACGGATTCCTCCGACGCGAGCGATCATGCGCTACATTGGACTTGCCAGCACCTCGCTACACGACAACCAATGGAAGCCTGTGTGGCAGTGGCCCGATCTCCGATGCTACAGTATCTTTGTGTTTTTTCTTATTCCTACCGAGGACAAGCGCGGGTGGGCAGTGAGACCCTCTCCTACCGTTATCGATAGCGGGATTTATGACTTGCACTATTTCTCCGATGGCTCTTCCAATCTACTTTCTTTTTCGTCGCGTTTACTCGATTCGTTCGTCCGACATAGAAGGAGGAATAACATGCCGGCCAAAGATCTTACAATATGGTTTGGCTGGCAAAACACTACCGCCGATCTCCAAGCAAGAGAATGCACGTGCGATCTTACCACGGCGTGCTGACCGCATTATAAACATAGCTAAGAACATTTGGCAAGCTCACGATGTCAATCCCATGAGCGGATGATGCATGCCTCGCACCAGCTGCTTGGCTTTTTGAACGTATAGGGTGGGTCCACGAGGTGCATTAGGGGCAATAAAAGATCTACAGGGTACCGGCAGCGCGTCCAGCCCAGTCAAAGAACATGCATCTTTTTCCAATTCCTGAGTTCCTTCCTCTACAAGAATAGGTCGGATGGATTGATGGTAAATTGTTGAATTGATGGAAGGATGGATTGATTGATTGCTGCAGTCGTGTCAATCAACGCTGTCTTGTCTCCAGCTTACTTACAGCGCCTCAAGGCGGCCAATGATGATATGCCTCGGCCCACTCATTCGCCGAACGATTCGCTACCCGTTCGCACCTTTTACCGACAGTCTTTCCTCTCACATGCACTGTTGATCCCTCTGAATTCGGGACCGACTGATCTTTACAGAAGACTTGCATATTATACTGCATATCGCAACCTTTTTTAACTGGGCAGGGAGCTACTTTAGGAAGTGGCTTTTCCTCAAGCGACAAATTGCGTCCAGAGTTGATGCGGTGCAACCCACTCTCGAGTCTTGCACCCCGCGCTTGCTGCAGGCTGCATGACATTGATTTCCCAGCGCCAACAAAGCCACCATTCAGCACCATCACCATAGCTCTTCTCGCTACTTCCGAGATGCTCATTGTACGATTCGCTGGAAGACATAATTCATGGTGCGCTTACAACTCGCCTTATCTAAACCGAATGGGCCAAGTCGCCCGACCCCACAATGCATCTGTTCTATTCTCGGACTCGGAATCTCTGTCTTCCCGCCAAGGAATAGGTCATCATGCATACTACGGCCCTGTCAGCATTGGAGAGAAAGAAAGAACAGAAAAAAAAAGCCGCACGTACACACTTTACCCGTACGTAAGGAGATGCTCGACCGCAGACGGCCCATCTTGAATTCGCCTACATGTCCGGCTAGGTTGTCACCCAGCTCACCGCACGATTCCTGTAAACAAGGCGGTCATTATTCGTTCTAAGGTTTCGATAGTCTTGCAGATACGAGCTGTCAGCTTGGTCCTCGTCTTCTTCATCCTTCTCGTCCTATGACCACCATGCCGTCTCTACCGCGACTTTCTTGCTTGGCGTGACTTGTTTACCTCTTCTCTCATATGCCTCTCGAGTGCCTTCACTTTTTTGCTTTCTTTCGCGTTGTTTTCTTGTAATTGACAGCGCACATGTGCACTTCGAGTACCTTCCTAATACTAGTCTAATTGTCGTCTCGCCATTACACCCCGCTTTTCAAGATGCTTCGACGCCTTGCCCTGATCCTCTCCCTCTCCTCTCTCTCCTCCCTTTCTCATTCCAAACCCATCACCGCTGAGGCTGCCAACGCTGGAGCTGCGTCCAACTCAGCGGCCAGCCAAGGGAAACTCTCAACCGAGGGCTCTACAACCTACGATGGCGTCGCGCTCGCTGGGATTGAGGCGGCCCCTGCGGTCTCAGATGTCATTGCCGCCGCTATCTCCCAAGCCGGCTGGACTATCGTTGTCGACAGTCAGCAAAGTGCCAATGGTTACTTAGGGACTAACGCCATCGACGGCAACACCTCCACGTTCTGGCACTCCGAGTACTCACCAGTACTTGTACAATTGCCCCACAATGCCACCATTGATATGAAGACTGCCAGCCTCGTCGGCAGCATCACTTACCTCCCAAGACAAGATGGTCAAAGCAACGGCAGGATTGGTGAACACATTATTGAGCTCAGGTAAGCCAGAAACCTTGAATTATTTCGTAGATCAACGCTTATGTCGCTCGCGCGTATGCAGTCCCGACGGCGTCACCTATACAACAGTAGCCTTCGGGACATGGATCGATGACGCCACCCTCAAGACGACGACCTTCACCCCCTTCACCGCTCGGTATCTGCGTATCATCGCCCTTTCGGAGGCCGGAAATAGAGGGCCCTGGTCCTCCGCCGCAGAAATCAACGTTTACACTGCCGCCGGTTCCGCGCCTCCGTCGCCTGTTGGGAAGGGCAAGTGGGTCATGACGGTTGATTTCCCCCTCGTACCGGTCTCCATAGCTCATGAATGGTCCACTGGTTCGCTGCTCGCTTGGTCGTCATACACTCCCAGCTCCTTCGGGGGCTCCCCAGGCACAACCACCTACACTGCAACCTTCAATCCTGCTACAGATCTTGTTACACAAGCCGTAATCACCAACGTGGATCATGACATGTTTTGCGAAGGACTGTCATTGGACTTCACTGGACGGATTATTGCTACTGGGGGAAACACTGATGCGGCCACGAGTTCTTATGACCCTACGGCCAGTGATTGGACTGCTCAAGCAGTAAGTTTTTGCTCCCCGGCCAAGGCCTATAGGGTTCCATACATTACAAATGGGAAACCCTCGCTAAGTTCTAATGTCTCCAGGCCCTGAACATTCCCCGCGGCTATCAAGCCCAAGTGACTACCTCCACCGGCACACTGTTCACGATAGGAGCATCATGGAGTGGAGGCCAGGGTGGCAAGAACGGCGAGCTCTACAGCACTAGTGCCAACACCTGGACCGAACTTTCTGGTTGCCCGGTTGCGCCTATCCTCACAGCCGACGCGCAAGGTATGCATAACTTTCCTTCGTCTGGTCCTAGCGATGGCCGACGACGATGTAAGCATGCTGACGCTTGATTTCCAGGCGTCTATCGCGCGGATAACCATGCCTGGCTTTTCGCCTGGAGTTCCGCCTACGTCTTCCAAGCTGGTCCCTCACAGGCCATGAACTGGTTCCTCACCACCGGAACGGGGTCCCAAACTGGAGTTGGGACCCGAGCATCGGATACCGACTCCATGTGTGGCAACGCCGTCATGTATGATGCGGTAGCTGGGAAAATCCTCACCGTTGGTGGATCACCGGACTACCAAGATTCCAACTCCACCGGCAACGCCCACGTCATCACGCTCGGCACCCCGCCCGCGACTCCCACCGTCCAAACCATCGGCTCCATGGCCTACGCGCGTGCCTTCGCCAATTCTGTCGTCCTCCCCGACGGCACCGTCTTTGTCACCGGTGGCCAAGTCTCCGCCGTTCCCTTCTCGGACGCCACGTCCCAGTATATCCCCGAACTCTTTAATCCGGCCAGCAACACCTTCACCCAAATGGCGCCTGCCTCCATCCCCCGCAACTACCACTCCGTTGCGATTCTTCTCTTCGACGGGACCGTGGGCAACGGTGGGGGCGGTCTCTGCGGCACCTGCGCCACGAATCACTTCGACATGCAGATTTGGAATCCGCCATACCTCTACACCAGCTCCGGCGGCCTCGCCACCCGTCCCGTCATCAACAGCATTTCGGCGGCCAGCGTCGCCGTCGGCGCGACTTTCTCCATCACGACCAACGTGGCATGCTCCGCGTTCAGTATGATCCGCATGACCAGTACGACGCATACGGTCAATACGGACCAGAGGAGGATTGCCTTGACGGCGGGTACGACGGCCGGGACCACGTACACGTTTACGGTGCCCAAGGATCCGGGGGTGGCGGTGCCGGGGCACTGGATGGTGTTTGCGCTGGCGGGTGGAGTCCCTGCGGTGAGCAAGCAGCTGCAGGTCACACTGACGTAGCGTGCAGCACGGGATGGATGGAGGGTCGACTTCGGCGAGATGAGGGATGTGGGATGCGGGATGACATGAACGCTGCACTGCTCGTTACGAGAGCCGGCTGATAATTGTGATAATTGTAATTCCCGATAGCTAAATAATGCCATGATTGACCCTCTCCGCCGCTTATTCTGCAGCCGGGGTGTCCCAGCTCAACAAATGGAAAGTCTAAAAGCGCCTTTTAGCGAAGCTACCTTAAAGTATCTTATCTTACCTTAGGTACAGGTCATTGCCTAGCGCGGATGGTAGCGGGATGACATGCATGAGCCGGGTTCACGTGGGGGGCATGACCGGGCTGGACCCTCGTCTAATTTTCGACCAAGGAGCTACTTACCACCTTGGATGCATTAAAGCTTCTTGGCATTTTAGAGTGAGTAAGTACTTTAGGTCACCGATTATTGAGGTCCCTACAGTAGGTACCTAGAACAAGTCATCAGTATCACCAGTGAAGCTCCGAAACATCTTCCTCTAGACCTCACCGAGCCGATTGCATGCTGAGGCCGAAAACCGGTTTTCAGCTTCGTGATCTTTATCTTTTGGGGCCTTCAACCGGTTGAGGTTGTTTTCGCCTGCCGGAAAACGCCTCTGCGTGGCATGACATTTCCTCCAGTCTCTTCGTTAGCCTTGGATCCATCTCTTTACTGTCTTTTGCCTACATGAGATTCTGACATTCAGCTACAGGCTACCTTGACTAAGAAGGAAGGAAGGAAGGAAGGTTGGAAGGAAATCATGTAATGCGGTGTACGAAGGTATGCGAGGCAAATGCAATGTCATAATTGAAAAAAGATCCATAATTCCATCTCTGTCGTAATGCATCAAGTAATGCATCATGTAAAGTTTAACGGAAATTTAAGAGAAAGGTTTGAACGTACCAAGTGAAAAGTACTTTTATAATAAGGCAGTGGTCATGCGGGCTGTGCCATGGGCGCCATGCGGCTAGGCTCTCTTGGAAGACCGATCCGCGCCCTCGGGATTGTTTTGTGGATCATCTTGCCGATGTGTGTGGGCCTGTGCCACGGGTGTGGTGCCTGCGTGAAGTTGATCATCCGATGAACACATTGTACTTTACTTTACTTTACATATGCGCCACTTAAAATAACTTAGCCAGCTCTCCCTCATATAACCGCACTGGGTCCTTCCCGGTGTCGGCCCTTCGGCTTCGTTCCGTCGTTCTTCTGGTAATGATCTGCCATCTTCTCGTTCGAGAGAGCAAGATCGGAGATGCCCCCGTGGGAAGACTTGGAACATCTACCGTTTACCTTAGCTCTTCTCCACTGGCCGATAGAACCGTCGACGACGTTGCGGCTTGCAGGACGCAATGCGAACGCCTATTCCTGCAAGAGTCATGATGGCATTTCAAGCGGATGGCGTATTCCCCCGTTCAACATCCCACGTGCAGCTAGCTGGGCGTGGTACAAGATTTCAATTTCGGGGCTGCAGATGGAGGAGGAGGAGGATCTCGCGAGGCCGAGGACGTCCAGCGGGGAATGCGGTCCTGGCCACTGATGGTAGTGCGGCTCAACGGTGCATGTGGCTGCACGGTGGATCAAGTGCAAGGAAGATCATCCGAAAGTGTCAGATGATCTGCACCAACTTTCCCATGCGATTGTGAAAGCTTGATTGTTCGTCGCTCCTATCTACATCCGGCTGTGGCGGAGGGGGATACTAGAATCTTAGAAAGCGGCCTCCTTCGACTAGGATGAGGAAAGAGTCTAGATTCTATGTATCGCTTCCACTTCTATATTTCCTCGATTCTACTAATTAACACTTTCGAGACTTTGTAGAGCTCAAGCCTGATCACAAGACAGATCCCTTCAAGCTTGTCATCCGTCTATTGCTACACTTTTTCAGACTTTCGTGGCTTGGTCTTTATCGGGCCTAGATCAAGCACAACATAATCACTGACAGTAACGGCGCTTTATTAGATCTGGCAATCACAACGTGCAATCCCGAACTCTGTCTGCGTGGAGAATCATCCGCTTTGTCCGCAAGCCACTTCGGCTTCTTGGTCCGGTTCTGTCGCAGATTACACCACATCTGCTTATGGTTCCTTGAACCAAAACCATACACCAGAGGTCGGAATGAATGCATGTCGTTATAATTTATAGTCCGCAGCGCAATCATACGGGCGAACAACGGAAGGGAAGAGCAGAGAGGGAGAGCGTGGAAACAGCGAAGCTGAGCTAACTTCCTGTGCTGCTTACGACGTAGAAAACGCTCATAACATGACTCCGATCGACAACTCGACATTCAGGCCGCAGGCTTTTTGGTTACAGAAAGCGACAAGGTGAGCGTAGAAAGCAAGTACTTATTTGAAGCTTCTGAGAAACCCTCTTGCACAGATGGTTTTTCCTCAGTTATCCGCATTAGAACTCAAACTTGCGCAGCGGTTTGAACATTGCTCGATGACATGACTCTATACGAAATAATGCCTTTGTTCTCTTTCATGGCTATGCATGGGTCCTTGCAAAGACTTTCTAGATTATTTCTTTCCCCCTGGACAATCATTCTCCACTCGCATACGTTATCCAAAGTGTACCTTCCACATGGTCATGATGCCTTGCCAGCACACCGCGTTCGCGATCTTGACACTGTTTGCCCACCTTGGCCTAGCAGTCACACCGGTGGCAATACCCCAAGACAACAAGATAGATGGCTACGTCGGATACATGCCCACACCCCCGACCAGCGACTGGTTGACGACGACATACTGCTACTGCTCCCAACCGCACCATCTGCAGGCTCCCGCCTTCGACGAGGGTTCCTTCTTCCAATGGGAATACTACAACTACCACCAGAACGCCACCTTCGTCATGCATCGCCGCTGTCAAGCCAACCACGCGGAGACGAGGACGTGCGTCAACTCCAAACACGTGCACTGCGACCTCGCCGTCGACGGCGATTGCGAGGGCAACATGCTCTGTACCTCCTGGCCCCGAGCGCGTGCGCTCCGGAAGAGGGACGCTGGGGGTGTGAAGAAGGATCACTGGTGCATGTCGCTGGATGATCGGGGTTTCTTGGGCGTGAGTGACAGCATCATATGGAACACCCAGGAGAGGGGTTTGACGCGGAAGGGCGGGCAGGGGCGCCGTGGGACGTCGGACGGGGAGGTCGAGGCGGTTTGCGGGGGGCTGTGCCGGGGACGGGTGGGGATGCCGATGTTGGAGGGGGATCGGAATGCTAGGAGCCATCAGGAGGTCTTTGAGGATTTGGACGACATGTGCGACTCTTGTCGCAGATAGAGGTTTTAGGTTAATCATACTCCGGAAGGTAAGGTTCTTCACGTGTCGAGAGGTCTTTGAACCGCCGTCTTCTCGTACTAGTACCCATCATTTCACTCCTACCCATGCTTCCTCTACCGAATCTGCGTCACGGACGCGTCTTCAGCCGCGACTCCTATACACTTCCACTATCCTACGTCCATCATCGACACCATCATCGACACCACCCATCCGAAACAAAAACGAATAACCCCAGGGAAGTGTGAACAAAAAGCGCAAATATCGAACATGCCCGCCCGCCCGCCATCCACCCATCCCCGCCAATCCGTCATGAGTCCAGACCAGCGCCCCCCTCGCACCAGAACCCACTCCTCGCCCCATCATCATCTCGCACCCGTCCCATCTCGACCCACAGCCTCCATAAAGTGGAGACACCGACGACCGAAGGCACGACCCCAGACCCAGCTCCCGACCCCATTCCCATTCCCAACCTAGGGGCATCGCTACACCGCGGCTCAGCCCTCCCTGACCCATCGCGCCAAACGACCAAGAACCGTCTCCGTAGCACCCACCCACCTGCCCGCACCGCATTCCCCCACCCGGATCCCGCCCGAAACACATCCGCGCCGGAACCGGACGTCTGTTCTTTCTTTCCCACGGGCGAGCTTTGTATCGTACGCGAACGGGAGGAGGGCAGGTGGGAATCTTTTTGGTCCTCCGCGAACGACGGTTGCTCGATGGTGTTGGGTCCGGGTTTAGGGGCGGAGAGTGGTGCGGGATGATGGTTTGATGGTTTGGGCCGGTGGTGAGATGGGGGGTGGAGGGAGGGAGGGAGGGAGGGAGGGAGGGTGGGGGAAGGGAGGGAGGAGGGGAGGGAGGGAGGGAGTGTGGTTGTTGGTTGATGTGGAGGAGGGGAGGATGGGGGGTTGGTGTTAGGTGAGGTGGTTTGGTTGCGGGGGGTGAGGGATGAGGGAATGGGTCCTTCTCTCTCTTACTTACTTACTTACTTACTTACCTACTTACTTACCTACTTACTTACCTACAGCAGTGGGATCGCGATCGTTCTTTGAACGAGCAATGAACAGACCGTGTCTGAAAGATCACCCTTCGACGAGCAGGACGCACAACCGAGATCGTGTCCCCGGTTGCCGTCCGGTTGAGATCCGATCCGGAGCTGGTTCACCGCGGGCTGGAAGAGAGGTGTGTTGCGCTTGGCCGGTCGAGGACTGCAAGGATCGTTTAGCCCGAGGTAAGAGTGTGGAGTTGACCGATCCTTTTGCAGAATGGGGCTGCGCACGGACGGTAGCATGTATCCCGGTTTGCGTGCAGAGCACCATGCGGTGAGCTGGGGCTACGATTCAATCCGACTGACGTTTACTCGGTGTGGCGCCGGCTTTGGTGCCTGGGCTGAAAGCAGTCCGGTATTGGGAGTTGTTGATGGTGGGATTCTAGAGATCGTGATCGAGCTGAGAAGCACGGGGGTTGGTCCTGTGATTTTAGAGTCGGTTCGGGGTCTTTTGAGAGAATATTCTGTGAGAGGAAATGGGCTCTGCGGGGAGATTCCTACCGGTCTTGTCATGCTGGCGAGCAAAGCCCAGATGCGATGCATGCCCATGTACTAGGTAGGTGGGCTTTCATTTGACCTTCTTCTCCGTCCTGTTAAGCTAAGCTAAGCCATCATTCCTGCGTGCCCTCTTCGTCTAGATTCAGGGAAAGGATTGCTCAGCTTGATGTCAGCGCAGTTGCCCCAAGATCCTACATTGAAACAACCCTCATAGACCAGCAGCATGTGAGAATGTCTCCGATCTCAGCTTCCGGTAATCCCACTTATGTCCACGTTGAAAGTTCGTGGGAGTCCGATTTCAAATCCTGGAAGCTTCTCTGCTGGTTTCACTACTACGATCCCGTAAGTCTCATGATCGCTGTAGGATCGGACCCCCGAGCCAACCTCGTTGGCTTGAGACTCGTGAAATTCCCCCAAGATCCGCGCCGGGATGAGATAAGCGAGAGTCTTGTTGATGACCGTGTGGTAGCGGTGGATCGAACCGCAAATCACATCGCAGAAGCTTTGAAGAAGCCCTCGAGATCCGCGTGCATCTTGACGCATCGCTGAATCAATTCAATACTTTCCCGAACAAGAGAAATCATTTCAAGCTCTTTCGAGGTCTCGTTCAAAGTGATAGGAGAATATAGATTCTTTAGCTTGAGTAAATCTTCATTCGCCAGAGCCTCCAGGGTGAATTCAAAGGGCTCCAGGACGCGAAAGTGCCACCCCAAAGCCTTCAACTACTCTGCTATCCTGCTATTGTAGCGCGCTTTGTCCAAGAGGTGAGAGTAGAAGGGAACCTTTTCTCGTCGTTTCAAGCAGCTCATCACCAAAGATAGAGATTATCGAAGCAAGGGGGAGGACGAAGATTTGTGAAGGGAAGCTGGTACGGTTTTGGTTTAGAGAGGCCTCGATGATAACGAATCCAGTGCACATGCTGAGCGCTGGAGCGGTAGGACCGAGCAATCTGGAAGGTACATTCACCAGCTGTAGGACTATCGTCGCCAGCAACAGTCCCTTATACATGTACTCGAAGGAACGATGAGGAGGTACGGTGGATGTTGTAAGTGATGAAACGACAGATCCGTGTGTTAGAGGGGTGAAGGCCCGGTGGAATGATGTATTAGAGGTCTAAGGCAGCCTACTTGATGTAGGATGATGTTTTGGTAGGAGGAAAGTGTGGTCGTAGAAGGTCCTTTGCGTATCATTGGCGCCGAGGTGATAGCATACGGATTCTAAGACCCTCTGCATAGGGACTATCAGGTCCAATGAACCCAGCCGAATGCCAATGATATCCAACGTTCTGGTTCGTCACGGGCGATCCCAGCAGATGACGACTCTTTCCATAGAGCTGATCGCTGCAACTCGGTGCCTTGCAACAACAGTGCGTGCTTTCCAGGCCCGTGATCGGGTCTCCTGCCTCTCCCAATCGTAACAGACGCTGAGCTCCTCAGCTGTTTGGTATTTGAATTGGCATGTATTTCCTAGAGCCGTTCGATCTGCCGCGGTTAATGCAACGCACGATGCTGATTGAGATTCACATACCCTCATTGCTGACTTGCTTCTAGACTTCGTAACCATGGTCGTCTCTATTGCTGAAGATTCCAGCGAATTCGTCATCATCGGTTGCATCTATACAAACAACATCCTTGCTGAATTACGTCAAATGTTTACCACTGCTGCACAGCGGAGGAAAATCCCGGGCCGATCTCGAGGAGCAGCACTCTAAGAGACATATTTGTAGGAAGCACTTGAACGACGATTTCGCAGATGCCTGATTACATTTATGGAGGAACAAGAGAGTAGACGATTGGACGGGTCGGTGAAAGGTAGCAGAAGCAAAAGCATAAGCAGAGGCGGAAAACGTGGGGTCCGCAATAGCTTCTTTAAGTTAAAAGTACACTCGGATGCTGAGATCATTACTTGCGAAGAACCATTCACAAGCGATCAATGTCAATGCTGAAGGGCATCTTGAGAAATAAGGTCACTGAGAGAAGGTCGTTCGCAACCGTGAATAAGATTGAGGGTGTGCATTCCCATATCGGTTTGACGGACTGGTGAAAGATAACGATGCCTCGCATAGGATTTGAAGACAATTTTATAGGACGTATACTTGATACGTACGTGCATTCTGATTTGGCTGAAGTTGAAGGGCGCACAACTATGCTGCTGTGGAGGTGGAAGGTGAGGGGAAACGGAGATATTGGGTTGAGAGGAAGCCCAAACAGGTTCCGAAATTCTTGAGATATGACTGAGCCAACAGATGAAGTAAACATTCTCAGGTGGATCAGCCGCTCAACAGCTCAGCCGAGAAACAGTCTCAGCCTGATCCATTACATGCCGCGCGACGCAAGGACACCGATCTCCCATAGTCGTTCTCAAGAGAATCCCGGAAACATGCACTGTTTTCAACTGGTGGTGATATCAAATGTTTAAATCACGCTTGACGTTAGTGCTAGCTATGGGGAAAGCTAGAGATTCTTGAAGCCTCAAACAGTGGCTATCTTGGAACGTCCACCTAGAATATTGATGTTCTATGTTTTTGGACGACGTAGGCAGAAAGAGGATTGACGGAATGGGTTACATTCCTAAGAGAGAACGCCCAACTCTTCTGTCCAGGTAAATTTCGCAATCTTGTATGACACCTATTAAATCCACATAATGAAGTGGCCATGTGTGCCACTCTTTGTTACAGTCTTCTAGTCGTATGCCGTGCGTTGAGGCTAGAGGTAGATGATGGGCGTCCATGGGAAGACTGCAAGTTGCGTGATGTCAGTGCATGTGCGGCACCATTGGAGTGAAGATGAAGGTCAAATTAAAGGCGCCTTACCTTAAGCATGGGCGTGCATCGAATCTGGGCTTTGCTCGAGGTTCCCTGATATGTCAATCAGTGTAGTCTGGAAGCCTGCCAGGGCAAGGCAATGCGACTGATGGTTAGGCTCCGACACGTTCATAGATGGGATTGTGGTCGTGAGCAAGGAGACTGATGGCAAGATTCATGCAAGTAGCGGACTTGACGCAGGATTAAAGATGCAAGAAGTCTCGGGTAGGACGAAGCCTTGATATAGTCTTCTCTGGAGAGGTGTGTCTCATGGACGGGTTCTGATGAAGCAGGGGCCAATGTAGGCCTATTGTTGAGCTTTTAAAGTCAACATAGGCTCCATTGCAAAAGACGATGCCATTAATTGAGATGCAAGCATCAGCTATACCTGTGAGCAACAGTGACGGTAACGATGTAAGCTCAAAAAGCAATGTTGAGACTAAGAATTAACCCTAACCCTACTTTGCCAGCCCTGCACCAAATGATTTTGATTCGTTCACCTTGATATATAACTGTCAGTCTCGGCACGTTTGTTCTCATCACCCTTTTCATCCTCGCCCATCCTTACTTTTATCTGATTCCAGTGGCAGTCTCCTACGAATTACTTCCATGATCAGTAATCAAGTAAGCTACGTACCCGACAGGCTACAGCCA